TGGGTCTTCTCCTTCTGCATATTAGCTGCTCACGATACGCAGCTAAGGCAGAAGACGAGCATAATGAAGAGGACAAGGCGAAGACGGAGAGCCAGGAGCCAGAAAGTATGACAATCGGATTCGAAATTCCAATTGGATTGTGTTCCACTGTTGTAGACAGGACCACTATCCTGTTATAACTTCTGAATGGGTAGTGGGCAGTGGATTTAGATCTGACATTTGGGTGGTGCTCGTCAGTTTTAGATCGGATAACCATCCCATTTCAATCTCGAATTGGAGAGTGTTCATCGGCTTCAGGCAGGACTTGTTCGATTGGTAAATCAAATATGTACAGTGCTCATGACTTTTAGCCATGACCACGATCACGTTTTCATTTCGAATTGGATAGTCCCCATCGGTTCGAGACAGGTCCACTACCACATTATTATTCAGAATTCGACACTGGTCTTATTATTCAGAATTCGATACTAGTCACCTTTTTCACAGCAGGTGGGTGGGGCTACCTTGGTCAGCGGATGTAGGGATGCGCTGGTGGGGAGATAAAGAGTGTATGTAGCAGCACCAGCATTGTGTTCTGAGATGGGGATGGTATCTACAGGCGCAGAGAGTGAGTATCGGAGACACCTACGGCGAATCACCGTCGCCCCCTGCCTTCTTGAAAGCGCCTGTGTGGTCGGAGGTTTATTTAGAGCCCGGCCAAGCTATCGGGCCATAGGTTCCCCGAGTTGGTTTGGAACGCCATCGGGGAACACGTCGGCGAGGACGAATGCAAAGAGGATTTCGATCTGGTCTCATGTATCGTCATCGGGGAACACGTGGGCGAGGACGAATGCAAAGAGGATTTCGATCTGGTCTCATCTATCGTTCTTGGGGCCTCCCTGCCTCGTTGAAGCGCGCCTCTGCGGCCAAACGTCTGGGCCAGAGCGTGGATCAGTTATCGGACCAGGAGCTCCTCAAGCCGCTGTAAAAACCACTCAGGGAACGCGTGGAGGACCATGAAGCGGAGTAGGATAGGAAGAACAAGTGGGGAGAGAGGAGGAGAGCTCTTTGGAATCCCTTGGGAGACTCTTGGGAGCCTCTTGGGGCCCTCTTGGGGCCTCCTGGGAGCATCCTGGGGGGCCTCTTGGAGGCCTCTTGGGGGTCTCCTCGGGCCTTGTGGGAGCCTTTGGGAGCTCTTTGGCCGTCGTAAGATGTTCCTGGCCCGTCGGAGGCTGTCTTTGGGGCCTCTCTGAACCGACCTGGGGCCCTCTTGGAGTGCTTCATGGCCGTCTTGGAGGCCATTTCGGGCGTCCTGGAGGCCTCTTGGGCCGTCTTTGGGTCCTCTTGGGGCCGTCTCGGGGGCCTCCTGGGCCGTTATGGAGCCATCTTGGATTTCGGAGGTCGCAAGGGCCATCTTGAGTCGATCTCGCCGTCTTGGGCCGTCCGAAGGCCGAAAAGAAGCAAATACCAAAATCCTTCTCTCACCAACAACATATCAATGATTTGGGCCTCTTCGGGCCTTCCTGGAGGACCTCTTGGAGGTCTCCCTGGCCGTCCTGGAAGCCTCTTGGGGGCCTCTTGGGCTGTCTTCCGTCATCTTGAATCCGTCTTGGAGGCTTCTTGGGCAAACTTGGAGACATCTTGGACGCTCTGGGACTGTCTTGGAGGCCATCTTGGACCATCTTGGGCAAACTTGAGAGCCATCTTGGCCGCCTTGGAGGCCATCTTGGAGCCATCTGGAGCGGCACAAATCTTTGCAACCACCTCTGGAAGAGCCTTCCGGATGGCCGGCGGCATGCGCCGAAGCCCCAGGGGGTGTTCTTCTGGAAAAGAACCTACACCAAAAACGGAAGGACTCAGCACTCACGGCCACCTGTGATACATCAACAGGGGGCGGCGGATCGAATGGCGTTCGGCCCATCCCGCCGCCGTGCCTGGGTTGTGGGTCGTAGGCTTCTAAGATGTTCGTTGGGGTGTCGCGGGAGACCTCTCGGGGCTGGAGGCACGGGCAGGGGGAGGATTTTTGGAAGAGTTCCTCGCTCGCTCGAAGTTTCACGGGCTCTTGCAGTGCTCGCCGTCCTACTCCGTCCATCTCGCCCTTTTTCTCTCCCTTCTCCGTGGGTCCTGCACCCTCTTCCATCCATCCTTCGTCCCCCCCTTCGCCCCTCCCATATCATGAAGGGATCGGCTCGGTTCGGTTCGGTCCGGTTCTGCAGCCGGGTCGGTTTTGCTTGGCCGGTTCGGTTTGGCATCGGTCCGGTTTCGGCCGGTTCGGCTTGGGCCTGCCGCCGGTTCGGTTCGGTTCCGGTTTTCGCGCGGTTGGGTCCGACCGGTTCGGTTCGGTTCGAGTGGCCGCTCCAGTTCGGTTCGGCCCGACTGGTCAGGTGCGACGTTGGGCGCCCCGTCTGCGTAAGCGACGACCCAATTTGAAAAAAAGGGAGGAGGAGGAGGAGGAGGAGGCGGAGGCGTAGGCGGAGAAGGGAGGAGGAGGACGACGAGGAGGAGAAGGAGGAGGAGGAGCAGGAGTAGAAACGTGGAGGCGTGGAGGCGCGAGGCCCTCCAGCGACGTGCCCCGACGGGGGTCGCAGCCCCGAGGGGGGTCGCAGCCCCGAGGGAGGTCGCAGCCCCGAGGGGGGTCGCGCCCGCCAGGGGGGTTGCGCCCGCCAGGGGGGTTGCGCCCGCCAGGGGGGGTGCGCCCGCCAGGGGGGTTGCACCCGCCAGGAGGGGTTGCACCCGCCAGGGGGGTTGCACCCGCCAGGGGGGTCGCGCCCGCCAGGGGGGTGCCCGCCAGGGGGGTTGCACCCGCGAGGGGGGTTGCACCCGCCAGGGGGTCGCGCCCGCCAGGGGGGTTGCACCCGCCAGGGGGGTTGCGCCCGCCAGGGGGGTTGCACCCGCCAGGGGGGTTGCACCCGCCAGGGGGGTTGCACCCACCAGAGGGGGTTGCGCCCGCCAGGGGGGTTGCACCCGCCAGGGGGGTTGCACCCGCCAGGGGGGTTGCACCCGCCAGGGGGGTTGCACCCGCCAGAGGGGGTTGCCCCGCCAGGGGGGTTCCCGCCAGGGGGGGCGCCAGGGGGGTGCACCCGCCAGGGGGGTTGCACCCGCCAGGGGGGTTGCGCCCGCCAGGGGGTTGCACCCGCCAGGGGGGTTGCACCCGCCGCCCGCCAGGGGGGTCGCGCCCGCCAGCCCGCCAGGGGGGTTGCGCCCGCCAGGGGGGTTGCACCCGCCAGGGGGGTTGCACCCGCCAGGGGGGTTGCGCCCGCCAGGGGGGTTGCACCCGCCAGGGGGGTTGCACCCGCCAGGGGGGTTGCGCCCGCCAGGGGGGTTGCACCCGCCAGGGGGGTTGCACCCGCCAGGGGGGTTGCACCCGCGAGCCAGGGGGTGCACCCGCCAGGGGGGTTGCACCCGCAGGGGGGTTGCACCCGCCAGGGGGGTTGCACCCGCCAGGGGGGGGTTGCGCCCGCCAGGGGGGTTGCACCCGCCAGGGGGGTTGCACCCGCCAGGGGGGTTGCGCCCGCCAGGGGGGTTGCGCCCGCCAGGGGGGGGCTTGCACCCGCACAGGGGGGTTGCGCCCGCCAGGGGGGTTGCACCGCCCGCCAGGGGGGTTGCGCCCGCCAGGGGGGGTCAGGGGGCGCAAGGGGGGTTCGCACAGGGGGGTCACCCGCCAGGGGGGTCGCGCCCGCCAGGGGGGTCGCAGCCCGCCAGGGGGGTTGCACCCGCCAGGGGGGTCGCAGCCCGCCAGGGGGGTGCACCCGCCAGGGGGTCGCGCCCGCCAGGGGGGTTGCACCCGCCAGGGGGGTTGCACCCGCCAGGGGGTTGCGCCCGCCAGGGGGGTTGCACCCGCCAGGGGGGTTGCACCCGCCAGCGGGGTTGCAGCCAGGGGGTCGCGCCCGCCAGGGGGGTTGCGCCCGCCAGGGGGGTTGCACCCGCCAGGGGGGTTGCACCCGCCAGGGGGGTTGCACCCGCCAGGGGGTTGTTGCACCCGCCAGGGGGGTTGCACCCGCCAGGGGGGTTGCACCCGCCAGGGGGGTTGCGCCCGCCAGGGGGGTTGCACCCGCCAGGGGGGTTGCACCCGCCAGGGGGGTTGCGCCCGCCAGGGGGGTTGCACCCGCCAGGGGGGTTGCACCCGCCAGGGGGGTTGCGCCCGCCAGGGGGGTTGCACCCGCCATGGGGGTCGCGCCCGCCAGGGGGGTCGCGCCCGCCAGGGGGCTCGCACCCGCGGGGGGGTCGAAGTCGCTGTCGCTGTCGCCGCCGCCGCCGCCGTCGCCGTCGCCGTCGCCGTCGCCGTCGCGGGTCGCCAGGGGGGTCGCCAGGGGGGCTGCCAGGAGGGTCGCCAGGGGCCCCCCCGGGGCTCCCCCGCGGCCCCCCGACGACGACGGCGACGACGACGACGACGACGGACGCTTGCCGACGCCCGCGCCCGCCGACGCCGCCGCCGTCGAGGAGGAGGAGGAAGCGGAGGAGGAGGAGGAGGAGGAGGAGGAGGAGGAGGAGGAGGAGGAGGAGGAGGAGAAGGAGGAAGAGGAGGAGGGGTCGCGGGAATCTTCGGGAGGTTCTGGGGTCATCGGGGTCCCGGAGTCCTGGGGGTCATCGGGGTCCTGGGGTCCGGACCAGAGGGGAAAGGGGTTCGGTTCGGTTCCCGTCGGTTCGGTTCAGGGGCCGCCCGGTTCCGGTTCGGTTCCGGTTCTGGTTCGGTTCGGTCCTCGCCAGTTCGGTTCTGAATGAATTCGGTTCGGTCCGGTTCGGTTTTCTACGTTCCTGGTTTTGGACCGGTTCGGTCCGGTTCGGTCACGGTTCCCGGTTCTCGGTTCGGTGCGGCCCCTTCATGCATATTGTTCTTCCCCCCCCATGCTGGCCAGCGGGGACTCCACAGAGGGCACAAAACAAGAATTCAGTTCCCGAGTTCAGGAAATAATAGTTGGTCGGGCGCAAATCATTTGCGCACGCCTGCGGTGTGAACGATTTCTGGTCCTCTCCCTGCCCCCACATGTGCGGCAAATGTGGGGGCAGGGACAGGGCCAGGAATGGTTCACAACGCAGGCGTCTGCTTCGCAGGTCCGTCCGTGAGGGGTTTGGTGTGTCCCCTTTCCCCTCATCCTCCATCTTCGTTTTCTTCCCTCACCTCTCCCTCCTCTTCCTCTCTCGCCCCCCTCTTCCCCCCTATCTTCCCTCCCTTTCCCCTTCGCTTCTTTCTCCTCCTCCCTTTTCCTTCCCCCCCCCCTCCCTACGTCGCCTGCCCCCCTTCTCCCTCCCCCCCTCCCTCCTCTCCCCTCTGCTCTCGCCCGCAGTCTTCTCTTTGTGGGGTCGCGGCGGCATGGCGGAGGTCGAGCCGCCAGCGAAGCGGCGGCGCGAAAGCGAGGAGAGGAGGAAGGGGGAAGAAAGGGCGGGACGGGGAGAGCGGGGAGGACAGGCTACGATTGGCGTTTGCAAGATGGCGAGCGATGTGGTGCCGCCGGCACGCTTGTTACACGCTATCCCCCACCGTGGGGATAGCGTGTACCGACGAGGCCCTGGAAAGGGGACGCCGTGCACAGAAGGGAACCTCGCGGGGGAGTCACCTCACAGGGATAGCGTGTTTTTCGGAGGTCGATGTTGCACGCGCTAGCGCCAACCGTAGGTGCGCTCACGTCATACCTGACACCTACCCCTCCATTCCATCCCTGACCACTGCGTAGAGTCACTCCCTATTCGCATGACCTTGTGCCGAAGAAGACATTGATCCCGAAAGGGTGAACGTCGCACAGCATAGCAGGGCATAGCATGGCATAGGAGAGCATGGCAGAGCGTATCATGGCAACATGGTCTGGCATTGCGAAGCCACGCGTTGCATATCATAGCAGTGGATAGCAAGCGATGTCATCGCAGAGCGATCCATGGCATTGCAGCACTACGAGGCATGCCATGACATGGCGCCGCACGGTATAGCGTGTTATGGCATGGCGTAACCAAGCATTGCATACCCCAGCATTGCAGAGCAATGCTGGGCATCGCAAAGTGGCGTCGCATAGTGGACATGGCGCCATAGATGCAGCGGGAGCACCTCTTGATACGGGCATAACGCGAACATGCGGCCTGTGCCGCAGCAGGAGCACAACGTCTATTGACCGACAACGTGAACGCAAGGCCAATGTCGCAGCGGGAACACCATTTTGAAGGACAGATGCCGCCAATGCTGCAGCGGGAACACCCTTCCGGCATGACCGAAAACGTTCGGACTGGAAAAATACATAGAACGTATGATGTTTGGGGAAATCTGGCGTGGGAGTGATGTATAGAAGCGCCCAGGGATCTATAATGCATATTTGCATATATACATATATATATAGATATGTATTAGCGTGTGCCTGGCACTTGTAGCCGAAACGCCGTTGTCGAGCCACCTTTTCTGATCCTCGGACGAGGAGGGGGCCCCAGCAGTGCTGCCGTACGTGCGGTCCGAGAGGAAGGAAGTGTTGCTGATCAGCAATTCCAAGCTGTTCGGCCTCGAGTACCTGGAGCATTGCGCGGACCACATTCGGTCCTTCCTTGGCCCCGCGTTGCAGTCCTACATTCTTTTTGTTCCTTACGCCCTGAAGGACCGCGACGGGTATGCCGCAAAGGCCCGAGAGGCGTTCGAGAGGATGGGTTACCAGCTGCGCTCGCTGCATGAGTTCCAGCCGCGCGAACGGGCGGAGGGAGTCTGCAAGGCTTCGGCCGTGTTTGTGGGTGGCGGGAACACTTTCAGGCTCCTGAGTTGCTTGTACGCGGACGGGGTCATGCCGATCATCAAAGATCGCGTGGAGGCTGGGCAGCTGAAGTATATCGGGTCGAGCGCAGGAACCAATGTCGCGTGTCCAACGATCCGAAACACCAACGACATGCCCATCGTCTGCCCCCCGTCCTTCGCCGGCATGTGTTTGGTGCCGTTCCAGATCAACACACACTACATAGACAAGGAGCGCGAGGCTCGGAGGGGCAAGAAGTCATGGTAATGATGCTTCCCAAGATTTCCTGGATTTCCTGTCTCTCCGCGTGGACTCCGGAGGCGAGGGCAATCGCATCATGGCATCATTCCCGTCCCAGAGGTGAAACACCACATGGGCGAAACCCGCGAGACCAGGATCACCGAGTTCACCGAGGATCAGGGGCCACGAGAGCGAGGTATAGAGGCTCAGGGGGGGGGGGGGGGCATCGACCCCCAGTCGCCCTCTCATCGCCGCTCGGGGCCCGGGTGTCCCACCCCGCCGGGGGACGTGTCGCGAACTGGTCGAGGGCACATCCCCGCTCCGACGACGATGCACTGCCGATCCCAGGCCCCCGTTTTTCGGGGGTGGACAGAACCCTCACCCCTGACACGTCGATTAGAGAATTGCCCGTTTTCGGTTCTCGAGAGAGCGCCGCAGCCGTCATTTTCCAGGCTTGCGCCCGCCAGTTTTGTGCCCGAGGTCGTTTTCCCGGAACCACGTTTTGCCAAAGTGGGTTCTGTCCATCCCCGCGTTTCCCCCCCCCCCCCCCCATGAGCCAGTCGCCAGCCAGCCCCCCCTCCTGTCCTCCCCCCGTCCGAGGAGAACGCCGTCCCCGTCCTGGCCCTGCGCGAGGGCAGCGCGGTGCGCCTGCGGGGCGAGCGCGCCGAGCTGCTGGGCCCCGCCCGGCGCTCCGCGGAGGTGACGTGGGAGGGCGCCCTGCTCTTCGCGCCCGGCCGGCGCGAGGAGGTCCGGGCCGGAGCGGACCTCGGGCACCTCAGAGGAAGGGCAGGCACCGGCGCGGGCAGGGATGCTGTTCGGAGGTCCGCGCACGCTTCTCGGGTCGGCGCGCGGGGGGGGGGGGTTCTGCAGGCGCTTCCTCGTGCGAACGCCCCCCTATGGTACACGAGGTATGTCGAGAAGCTCAGCACTTTCGCCGAGGGGGGCAGGTGGCTTCGCCGGTACCCGGCGCCGCGGGCGCGCCAGGGGGTGGGGGGGTAAGCTGTGCTTCTGTGCGCGTTCGCTGCGCGGGCCTCCGGGAGTCTGTGCTCCTGCCTGTGGCTCTCCTTCTGCTCGTGGCGCTGGACCCAGCCGCGCTCTTCGACACCTCCTCCGGGGTCGTGGCGGCCTGCAGCCTCAAGAGCGGCTGAGGGGGGCCCGCGGGCCGGCCTGGGGCGCGCCGGGCGCCCTGCGGCAGCGCGGGAGCAGGCTAAAAGCTAAAGTCTTGGCATCGGTCGGACGTGTGCATTTTTTCTGGGCGAGGATGGCCGAGGAGCATCTTTGATCTTCCCTTGCGAGAATTTGCACGCACGAGATCGAAAAGTGCACGGGGGATGGACGGGCGAGCGATGGCGAGAGGCCATGCCCGCCGCAGTCCTGCCCCCGACTCGGGGCCCGCTCCGCTCCGATCGCTCCGGCTCGGTGTCGGTTTCGGCTGGCCCGATCCGATTGTGTTCCGATGTTTTGGCGATCGGAGGTTGGTCAGGAGGGAAAGAAGCGCAGACACAATTTATCGTCGATTCCCCAGAAAATATGGGAAAATATGGGAAGTGGGGGGGAGACGAAACCCCAGAAAACATGAGGAAATATGGGGAATCCTGTCATTTGTGTGTCCCAGGGCCCCTTCAGGTTGGGGGGTGAGGTCGCAGTGGAACGGAGAGCTCCCCACCAGGAAATCGGTTTCGGTATCGTGTTCGCGTCGTGCGTGCGGGCGAGGCGAGGCTGCGCGGGCGCGCGCGAGGAATGACCCCGCCGTCGCTGGGGCGATCGTGATGCAGTGGATCGCCCCTCCGCCCCGGGTGGGCGCGCGGTGGCCCGGGCTGTCCCGCCGTGGTGTCTTGTGGTGTCCCGTTGGTGTCCTGTCGGTGTTCCGTCGGCGGTGGGCGGGAGTGTCACGCCTTGGTATCGATAGTGAAGTCGATCGTGGAATCGATAATGCGATCGCTAGAATGGGATAGATGGTGAAATCAAAATTGATATCGACAGTGAGGTTGATTGTGACATTGGTGATGAGATAGCAGACGGGGACGATAGTGACATTACATCGCAGCGCAACATCGTCATCACGCGTCGTCGCTAGCTCGAGGGCGCGTCACCAGCATCGTTATCATTACACCCATCGCATGTGCTAGCATTTGGTTATTTCACCCCCAACCCCCCAACCTCCTTGCCACCCGAAGCGTGGTAGCATACGTACTTGTATGCTGTAGTTCTGCACCTTGGCACGGCACTTGCGATTCTACTTCGACTGCGTGCCGATGTTGAGTGATTCGACGAACGTGCCAATTCAATCCGTTTTGTCGACGCTGACAAATGCCCCCGCCCATCCGAAATCTTCAGAGCTCCACTGGCCACATGCATAGCATTAGTATTGATGCATCTGTTCCAGTTCAGTTTCTCGTGTTGTGTGCAACGACATTGCCCGGAACGTGTTCGGGTTGGAGCTACCATAGTAGCAGTATGATATGTTTGTCATTTTTTCAGCAGCCACCACATGAGCATTCATCATATCGGGAACGATGTCTTTGATCCGTTCGTATCATCGATGACCGATCATGATCTTAATCGATTCGACCTGTGGGTATATCCATGTCCCGTGTCCGTGCATCTGCACTATTGTGTTTGGGGGTGCAGGCTAGCGGGGTACAAGAGACGAAGCATATGCCAAGACGGAACACGCGTCTGGTATGCATAACTACCATGTTGTATTCACGATGGCAGTGTAAGTTAGGCATGTTCAGGTTGGTCCCAGGTCTTCTTGGAAAGAGGGTTCCTGGGGGAGCTTTGTGCAATCCTTGGAGATCCTTGGGAGACTTGGGGCCGTCTTTGGGGCGGTCGTGTTCCCGTCCTGCTGCCTTGTAGGGAGCTTCTAGAAGCGTAGGTAAGCCCTCTGGATTGGACGGGTCTATATTGAGGTGTTCCTCGGCGTGTCGAATCGTGCAACAGTAACAGACTTTGAACGTTTGGTTTTGGCATGTGGGTCGTATCTGAGGGTGGTATTGTTTCTTGGCCGCTTTCGAGTAGGACGCCACCGAGCAAAGAGTTCCACACAGAGCCGCCTGGGTCGCGTCTGGCAGCGCACAAACCACGTTGTGCCTGTCTAGTTTTACCGTTTCGGCGCGTGCTCGGAGTGCACGCGAGGGGTGTTGACACCAGAAGTCGGGCTCTGGAGCTAGTGGGGCAAGCAACAAAGAGCATTCCATGGGTCCCGTTGCCACTGACCACAAGGAAATCAAATCAATCCATGACACAAGTGCATGTGTTTTGTGAGAAAATCAGATACCATGGAAACAGGATGTGTGTTTGTTGACGAATTGATTCATCGATTGACCATTGCGCACGCCCTCTACGGCGTCAGCTCGGTTGCGATGGTATCAGTAGACAGGAACAGTGCAGCTCACAGGAGAAAGCACGGTGGTTGTTGAACCGTTGCAGTATCAAGTTGGTGTTATGATGTATTATTCGGTTCCCCTTCTGCACGAGTTTTCCACGTGGAATGTCGCCCTTGTTCCACCCGAGTTTCTAAGGAGGGAGAAGGGGTGGCAGGGATACAGGAAGGGAGGGATGTAGGGATGCGGAGAGTGGACGAGGCGAGGGTAGGATCAGTGCAGGCAGGGGAGACTTACTGATGAGTCTGGGACTTCTGACATTACGCAAGCATTCCTCCGTTCGTTCATGTGTTGTCCTCTTCTGATCGCCACTCGGCACGCCCGGTGCGACTGTTGTTGCCGCTCCTTGTCCTCCTCTTCCTTCTCCCTCCTCTGCAGAGGAGATCGCCCAGAGGATCCGACACTGCCAGACCGGATGCTCCAGCCTCCTGGTCGGCGGTCAGAGATTTCACAGCGCAGGTCAACCGTTCCAGCCATTGTGGCTCCAGATCTGCAAGAACGAATCGCGTCCGCGGCGAGCCGCAGAGATGGCGGGCAGCAGGTCATCGAGGAGAAAACAACCCATAACCCTAATAACACTGTATAGACGTGGCCTCACTGAGGTCCCCCTCTTCGCATTGGGTCTGATACTCTGCAGAAAGACCCCTTATCCCTAATATTTGTGGCCCTCCTCACTCAGGTCCCACCCAGAGGATTAGGGGTCCTTTTGTTGCTAGTCAGCAGGCGTCCATCGTTCAGCGACACGGTCGAGATCGTCCAGTTCGTCGCGGACGGTGCGAAGGGCGAGGTCCAGTACGTGGAGATCTCGGGCTCCCGCGGGGCGAATCGGGGGCAAGGGCAGGAAGGGGGGGGGCTGGCCTACAGTCAACCCGCATAGTGAAGGTGAGCAATTTTCCAAGGTTGCCCTTACATTCTTCCCCTGCGGCCCATCCTTTGCCGCTTTCGCTGGCCGCGCCCCGCTCGCAACGTGTTGACATGGCCTTCCAAGGCCCTTGCACCCTTATCGTGCGTCCTTGTTGTACGGGTTGACGGTGTAAGCGCCAACCGCCCATTCGTCGCCGCTGGAGGCCCGGGGGCCCCAGCCTGCCCAGGAGCCTGCAGTCTCGCTTTGGGTGGTGGGGCCTCTCGCCGATCTGTCGGCGATGCCTTGCCGACTCAGGTTCGATCTTCACCCCACCCCCCCTCCTGAGCGGGTCCCCCCGTGCCAAGACGGCACGAGCAAAACAACAACAGCGGCCTACGAGGGCTATCGGCGGCAGAGAGCAAGTGGTGGATCTCACATGAACTTGCTTACGTTTCACATTTGTGAGGCCACGGCCTCCACGCCATTCCTTAATGGGCACGGGCGAGCTCCCTCGCGGAGCGCGCACGACTCCGAAGTTCGTCCGTTTTGAGCTGGTCCCCCTCATCGTCCCTCCCCCTCAGGGGCGAGGCGAGAGCCGTCGCCGATCCCCGCGAAGATGGTTCCGTGCAGCCGCGCTTCCGGGCGCCCGGTGCGGGCGTCCTCCTCTCGCACGGCAGCGTGGGGCGGCTCGTGGAGTGCGTCCTCCAGTCCAGATTCTGGCTCCTCGAGCGGCACCCTCGCCACCACGTCCGACGACAGCGACGCGGAGGATTGACGACGCCCAGAAGAGGGTGTCGCGAGGGGCGGCTTAGTAAGAAGGCGGATGGGCTTGTTAGAAGCGTCCTGGGCCTTCCAAGAAGGCCCCAGAGGCTTTAAGGAGACGTTTCAGAGGCCAGGTGGGCTTCTAAGAAGCCCTTTGCCTTCTTAGAGGTCCCGCCGCCTCCTTTGCAGCCCTCCCCCCTCGCGCCACTCCCTTGGTGGGCCCCGCCAGGAGGAAGTCTTCGAAGAGAGCGTGTTGGCGAAGACGGCCCAGAGGCGGCGCATTCGGCGCAGCGTGACTGCCAACCTCGGATCAGGCCTTTCCCTACACACCTTGCCATCGATGGCCATGTCGAGGCTCCTCTCACGGCGCCAAGGGTTCCTCAAAGCAGAGAGTCTTGCCTAGACTAGCCGTGCGGAAACAGATCGAGTCCGTCGGTCTGAAGACGCTCTTGACGCGCCACGTGCCAGATTGCCCTCCTGTCAGCCTTCCTCCGTCGGCGTATGCGAGCGCACTTGCTATTGCAGGAGTCACTTTATTCGGTTGGGAAGGAGGGAGGAATGAAGGAGGAGACCGATTACATTTCGACAGGAAGGCCTCACGTTATACCCCTTCCGAAAGGGGAGGCCTGCTCGGTTGGTTTTCGTTGCAGCATTGCGGCAAGTGCAGGCTAGCAACTTACCGATTGAAACGCGCACACATTGTTGTAACGCCAACCTCTAATGGCAGGTCCTGTTGCTTTGTAGCCAGCGTCTATTGTGCAGAAGGCGGTCTTCCTGGAGTGCACATCAGGTACGGAGGCGAGTGATGATCTTCTTAGAAGGAATGAGAGCCCCACGTACTCCAGGGGTTCGGAGAGGCATCACGACGTGCCGCGTGGAGCGGCAACGGCGTCCGAGAGGTGCTTGGCGTATAGTTTACGCTCGCCGGAGAACTTCTCCTGGTGTTCTTGCCACCCAGTCGCCCCGCTGACCAGACTTTTTGGTCGATTATAGTCCTCTCCATTCAATGCGCGAAGTGTTTCTAAGGATACTCAGCTTTCAGGGAGACGCACTGCGAGCTTCCTGGGTGAGCCCAATACCACGTGCTCCAGTGCTTCGGAGAAGCATCACGACGCACCGCGTAGAGCGGAAACGGCATCCAAGAGGTCTTTGGCGTACAGCTCACGCTCGCCGCAACCTCTCTCCTTGCTATTGCTGTGCAGCCGCCGCGCTGATCTTTTCTGTCGAGTGTGTTTCACTCTCCCTCTAGTGTGTGTGTGTGTGTGTGTGTCTGTGTGTGTGTGTGCAGGGAGTTTCTCTTGCATTCCCCAGAGTTTGCCCCCCCCCCATGAACATTGAACGCTCAGCAAAGACAGGGAACTCGCGCACCCTTATCTAGGATGGGGCGTTTCCCATCGTATATCCCCGAGTTGCGATCCCCTGACCAGTGGAAAGTCGCACAAAGTCGGGGCTCGGGGTCGCCATGACCCCGTCAGACAGTTTTTCGTATTGATTGTTCGACTTCTTCCCCGTACCCAACTCCGCCTCCTCTGATGGATCCGTCGGTTCAGGGCACTCGGGTTGGAAACACATTGCGGGCATGCCTGGATTCACATGGGGGCTTTTTGAGTCATCCGTGGGCATTTGGGGGCATCCTGGCCATCTTGGGGTTGTCTCGGGGCAAGTTTGAATCATATTGGAGCAATCTTCCAGACTGGGAGGCAAGATTGGTGCCACCCTGCGGCTTCTGGGGGGGTTTCGTTCTCAGGGACATCGTGGCGCCATCTTGGAGTCTCTGAAGGCCGCTTTGTGCGACCTTTGGGTAACCTTAATTACTCTGGATTTGGGGGTTGGGGCAGTATTGGGATTTCCTGGGGGTAAAGCAGGCGACACTTAGAAGGCATATAGCATATTGTCTGGACGTAAACCATGTTATCTGGGGTTCTTGAGGCCGATATTGGAGGCCATCTTATCTGTGGATCTGGGATGATTTGGGACGCCTGGGAGGCCCTGCGAGGCCTTGGGAGGCTCTGGGAAGCATTGGGAGGCCCTGGGAAGCCACTGCAAGCCCTGAGGCATGGAGTGCCATGTGAAGTCTTTGAGGGCCTAGGCGGCCCGTGGTCAATGAAGTATTGACACTAGACGCCCGTGCGTCTCTGCTCTAACTTCGGAAGATCGGGCACTTTGCTCACGCTGCTCTTAAACCTGTCTGTTCCAGACAAACATTGTCCTTCTCTGCCCAGACGTTGCATCAACCATCCACGGTGATCAAGACTCAGGCAGCAACAAGTGAGTCAGAATGTTACCCCTGCTGCCAACTTGCTGGACTCGCTCGCGTAACTTTGATCTTTGATGGAGATCCTGGCCCGTGTAGCCTGGCTGCCCCACGAGGAGGTCGCTGGGTTCTGGTTTCGAGAGGCCCGCCCATCAAGCCTGGCCCGCCCATCAAGATGAGAGTGCCTGAGCTCTGCTTACCGCCCCCACGTCTACCACGTTCTGAATATGTATCCATCCTGTTTTCCTCCCCACATTCGCATGTGTCATAACTTTTTCCATCTTGCCTTTAGATCGTCGCACCGTGCCTTTTAAAGATCTTAGTGTGGGGCACAGCCACTTTGTTTTGAAGCACCATTCCCTTGATGTGGAGCGTCGTGCTGTGGGCACTTGTGGTATCTGTCCGCCAGGACTGCAGGAGCACGGATGGACGTTTCGCTTCGCGAAAACAAGGAGCACGTTTAGACTTTCTAGGTAACTTGCGTTGGCGCCAATATATTTGCACTTCGCGCGTCACGGTCTGGACTTCAGCGTTTCCCTGTCTCCGCAGGGGCGCTGCGAAGGCGCGAGGGCGCGAAGATACTCGGGGGGCGCCATGGGCGATTCGCGAAGCGATGTACCTAAGTTGTGGTGAAGCTTACCTCGCGCTGCGGGGTACGCTTTGCTCGATACGCCGTAGCTGAGCCTCCCGTGAAGAAGTTACAAGAAGAGGTCAGTACAACACTCAGGGCCGTGTTGAGTAGGCCACGGGAATGGAATGCACACGCCAGGACCAAGGCCAGGCTTGGTCTGGGCCAGGGCCTCGCTGGGGCCAGGCTGGTCGCCAGGACGGGGCCAGGCCGTCTCCGGATCAACGCCAGGCGTTGGCGGCAAGGTCAGGGCCGGAGCTGAGCTGGAGCCAGGGGCCGGGGCTGGTCGTTGGGTCCGGGCCGGGTCGAGGCGGGGGGGGAAGGGAGAGAGGGTGGAGAAGGAAAGCCAGCACCATCCGGGAGCTACACCGCTTCTTCCTGTACCACATCACCCAATGACTTGCCCTGGTCGTGAGGGTGCTCCCGCCGAGGGAAGGTGGAAACAGGGTGGAAAACGGTCAAGCAGGAGATGCGTGAGAGATGGCCAGAGGGAGGAGGGATGAGAGGGAGCTCGCAGTCAGAGACCACACGGAAAGAGATATGACGTGTCGACTATTAATAGTGTGCCTTCGGCGATTCATGAAAGTGTTTGGCAGGGAGAGCGACACGCGACACAGTACAATTTAATGATTATGGACAACGCGTGAGTTGTGGTGATTCTAAAGTTTGGTGAGAGATTGGGGGGAGGTGGGGCGGAGGAGAACGGTGGGGAATACCGCTGTGGAGTGGAGTAGTGTGAACTGGAGCGGAGTGGGTTGTGGGGGGTGAAGGGCGGAATGGGACGGAGCTCGAAGGAGTGGGGAGGTCCGTGCATGAGTTGGTGGCAGTACAGGAGGCCGGGGGGGATGCAACTAGAATGGAAAAGGGGTGTGAAAGCAATATTGCAGTGTGGGGTGAGAAGGACTAGGGAAGCATTTGGGGCATGAGGAAAAGTGGAGTATAGTCTGAAGTGGCGTGGAAGTGAGAGGAGCGGAGTGGACTGGAATGAGGCATGGTTGATAGGGCGGGGCGGGTGGCGAAGACTGCCGAGGTTTGGAGAGGCGCGTGGATGAGTGCATTTGCGAGGGGAGGACTTGTATGGAATGCGGGTGACTGGAATGGAGTGCCGCGGAGCGGAATGGGGAAGAGCGGGGGGCAGTGCGGGAGATTTTGAACGAGGGGAGAAGCGACCGGCTGAGTGGGTGAGTGGAGGGGCGAGGAGCGGGCCAGGGCAGGAGGGCGGACAGGGGCACGGAGGGGGGGGAGGGAGACGCCGGGAGGGGCAGAGGGAGGGAAAGGCCAGGGCAGGGCAGGGCACCCTCTCTTCCCTCCTGCTCTCCTGCTCCCCTCCTCCCTCAAGGCTGTACCGCTCCTCCCCTGCCTGCCCTTCCCCTCCTGCCGCCTCCTGAGAGAGCCCATTAGCACCCCCCAAAAAAAACTCCCAGAACCTTGCGCAAGCCTCTCTCCTCCTCCTTCCCTTCCCTTTCCCTCTCCACCAGGCGCGCGTGCTGCCCGTCGATGATGGTGACGGCGACGTCGTCGTGATCGTTAGCGTCACTGCCATCATCGTATCCCGCTTGCGGGGCCCATTTCGACCCGAGCGACCCGAGTCGACGTCAATTCCAGCCGGCTCGGTCCGATTCGCTTCCGATATTCTGGCCATCCGACGCGTCCCGATGCTTGCATGGCGTTGTTTTCCATATTGGCGCGGCCGATCCGATGCCGATTCCGACTCCGTGCCGATGCTGCCCGATCTGACCCGCGTTCTGACCCGATCCGAGTTCCCCATTCGATGTTGGTTGATCCTGCCATGGCTCCTCCGCAGCCCCCTCTCTCCAGAGGAGGGGGAGGGGCCCGGGGGATGGCCGCCGCGGAGCGGCTGCCGGTGCTGCCGCGCCGGAGGGGCGGAGGCCCGCGGGAGACGGGAGCCGATGCGCATTGTCCTCCCCAGGGGAGGAGGAGGAAAAGGGAGAATCTACCCTCCTCTGAATCCCCCCTCCTTCCCATCCTCATCTGCTCCTCCCACACCTCCTCTTCCTTCTCCTCCTTCTCCTCATCTCCCCTGCTCCACACTCTCCAATATCTTTGCCAGCAGCAAACACGAACGGGCACGAACGTGAGCCTGTACCCAAGGAGGCCCACGTTGTGTGAGGAGGCGGCAGCATAGTTATCAAGGTGCAACCCCAATACCACATTTCAATAACGTGCTCCAATCACAGACATTACGAGCAAACACCTGTTCCAGACACCAAACACACATCAGTTACACACCAAGGGCATACACAACGTTCATTTTTCAATCGCATACACGTATAAACAACACAAGCGACACATTTCAATCACATCCACCAGCCACATACACCAGTAACACACTTCTACTCCAAGAACTGACTCCAGGATCGTACACTACGCTTAGGCATCAATAGCGTACAACAAGAACAGTTGTCAAGAACTTACGCTAATGACACACATCAATGACCCACATCAATAATGATAATAGCATGCAGAAGTCACACGCAATAGCGACACACATCACTTACGTAAATCGATAACTCACACATCTACCTGGGTCCCCAAATATGAGCCATCAGCAGCATACACCAAGGCCATACATCAATGCCACGCATCAGTAACACACCAGCAACACACCTCATGAATATATATTTCGATTTGCCAGAACTCATTGAGGGGGATCGCCCGATGCAAACTATGTGTTATCCTGGTTTGAGGTGCCCAGGGGCCTTTGGGATTGCATCAGCAGGTGCGCATACCTCCCCTGGGGATGCCGTGTTTCCCGATTGATCATCAGGTGGATCCCAGCCGATGTTTCTCATCGTATTTGTGCTCTTCTTCTTCCTCCTCCGCCTCCTCTCTCTCTCCCCCCCTGTTTCCTAATTGTTCTTCTCTCTCCTTCGCGTTGTCCCCTCGGAGGAAGACGGCAACGACGAGGCGGAAGGAGGAGCGAGAAGTGCCCTGCTTGGGAAGAGAAAGGATGAACAGAAGGATGATGATGAGGGAGAGAAGGACAATGATGTTGATAGGTCGGAGGAGATGGGGCAGGAAGAGGAGGGTTTTGCATGAAGAGGAGGAAGGGGAAAGGAGGTTCGTCGTCGTCGTCCTCATACTCCAACCTCTTGACTGGCTGGGCCTGCGAAGATCGTCATCATGCCAACTTCCTTCCATCTTTCTCCTCCTCCATCATCACCACTCTGACGCCATCCTTGAGTCCACCCACCTCTTGCCTTCGCCGCCCTCGACGAGCCTCCTGCCTCCTGCCTCGATGAGCCTCCTGCCTCCTTCATCCCCCATACTACCGTATCCTGTCTTCGCATCCTGCTCCTTCTGCTCCCTCCTGCCTGACCCTCCCTCTTCCTGCCTCCTGCCTCGAGTCCCTTGCAATGACGGCTGGAGCAGAGCGACGATCGCACCGATCGAAACCAATTTGCCCCGGACGTTCCTCCCTCCTGCGTCTTGTCTCACCCCCCTCCTCCTGCCCTATGCTGCATCATCTTACCTCCGACAAGTCAGACAAGCCTTCTCCTGGTATTCCTCCTACATTGTGCCCCCCCTGTGTTCTGTTTCCTTTTTCTGCCCACGACAGGACTCCTCATGCCTCTGGGCCACGCTGCTACGGGCCCTCCAAGAGCCTCGACCCTGCGCATCCTGCCGAGCAGCACGACCATCACGTTTCACAGCGGCGATTCGGAGAACAGATCCCCTGCATCCACAGACCTCCCCTCACACGATGCATCTGGTGACGACCACATCAACTTGGATGAAGAGTACTGGGTGGATACATCCGCAGGGATACTTGCCGTGCGGAAGATGTTGTTCGCCAGCACGGCATTCAAGTTGGGTAGCGACACAAAGGCAGTTCATGATGAGATATGCTTGCCGCGTGGCCAACCACACCAGTTCACGCTGGACGTGCCATGCTCTACATTCGCACCGTGGTGCGAACGCATCTCGGCAGTGGCACCGCAATCATGGTTGTCAGCACGGACGGTGTGACGGCGATACATGAGCGCTCTTGCACGCCAGCCGTCCGAACGAATTCCTGCCAAAAGATTGCGCCTGACGAATCCACGGAGACGCGATTGTTTTGGTTTTGACAACATCTGCCGCAGGCGACCCAGAAGATTGGTTCTCGTTGTTGCAGGAGTTGTGCAGCATCTGAGGGCTACGGCCCCACCCGCCCCGCCCCGAGAGGGCCTGATCTTCTCGACCGCATGGCGTCTCGCCTTCCTGCTTCGTCCTCCTCCCCCTCCTCCTCGTGCCTTCTCCTGCCTCCTCATGTCCCTTACGTCCGCCGCGTGGGTCGTCTCCTGGACGCTTTCAAGACAGAAACGGCGACTTTGCAGAAGCCGTAAAAAGCCATGTGGGAATCTCTGATCTGGGCCTGTTGGGGGGCACCAGTGGGAAGCATCTTGACCACCTTGAGCCGCCTTGCGAGCGTCCTGGACACTAGGGGGCTCTCCCCAGGAGCAGCTCTTCGAGCCGCTTTTTGACGCTAGCGGGACCCGGGGGAGGCCCCGTCGCGTTACAAGTGGCCTTTTGCGCGGGTGATTTGACGTGGGCCCACGGGAGTCACCGCAGCACTGGCTTGCGCGCTCGAACTGCCGCCTCCCCCCCCTCGCAGCCCCGCGCAGCCGCGCACCAAAAGTATCTCCAGTATCTTTTGCCCAAAGTCATTCATGCGTGTAGCTGGAAAAACGCGAAGACCCTCAAGGGCGCCTCTCTTTCATGTCCCCTCTGCTTCACGCAGACCCCCCCCAGCCCGCCCCGCCCGGTGCGGTGCGGACGGCCGCCGCCGAGGCGCCGGCGCGGCCGCGGAGCAGCGGCCGCCATGGCCATGGGTGGCCATGCCCGGCGCGCCCCCGTGCCGCTTCCGCCATAGGGGGGGAGGTGGTCGACTAGACGTAAGAGTGACCTTTCGCCAGAGTGACTTTTGGTGAGAGCGCAGATGGGTCCCCAGATGGTTCAAAACGAAGCAGTAGCAGCTGCTTGCGCGCCCAGGTTTGGTCCCCCCGCGGCCGCAAAAAAGTCGCGCACCAAAGGTCACTCTTACCCAGGGTTGCTTTTGCGTATAGCCGAGGTGGGGGCGCCGGGTTGCCGGCAAGACGTTGACCACGACGATCACGCCGACGGCGAACACGACGGCGAGCACGGCCACGACGGCGAGGTGGCCACGGCCACGAGCTCTACCATGATGGCGATCACGGCAGCAACTACGGTCATGACGGTGACGATGCCGCCGCCGCCGCCGCCATCGCCTTCGTCCGGTGATTCGCGTAGGGCGGCGGTTGCGCGACGACGACAACGACGACGACGACGACGAGGACAGGGCTAAGGATCCGTGGCGATGGAGCGGCTCGTCGGGCGCGGCAGCCAGCGCCTTCCTCCCCTACTGGGAGAGGCGGCCTCGCGGGCGCCTCCCCCGTGCGGTCGCGGAGGGCCGTGGCCTTGGCCCTTCTGAGTGTCGGCCCCGCTGGTCCTCCGCGGTTCACGGCCGGATGTGCTGCCCTTGGTGGCTCAGCGCTTGAAGCACCAGCTCACGGCAGCTCGGCAAAAGTCGAAAGATCTGCGATGCTGGAGTGCTTCGGTTGGGTCCTTGTGCCGCGCTGCCAGATTCGTTGCCTGAGATGGCTTCAAAGGCCACGCGCACCAGCGGGGGGCATCTGAAGAGAAGTTGCTCTTTCTCTGTCTCTCTCTCTTTCTCTCTCTCTCTCTCGTTCTCTCTCTCCCTCTCTCTCTCTCTCTCCCCTCTTCCCTTCTATGTATATTTATATACTACGTATAGATTGCCCAACTAGTGCTTGCCCATAGGGGCCCTTACTTCTTTTGTATAGATCAGGGCAGGTGTGGCGATCTGGCGGCTATGTTCTCGCCGTTGCCGCCCCGTCGCCGCCTCGTCGGTGCCCGTCGTCTGGGCCAGTGTGGCGGTCTGGCGGCTATGTTGTCGCCGTCGTCGTCCCGCCGCCACGTCGTCGCTTTGCACAACACTGATTGCTTCACATAAAGTATACAACAGAAAGTGCACGATGTAGCCTGCACTACATACGCTACATCACTTATATTGCACAGCATAAATTTATATGTGATTCTGCCCCATCGTTTATCTCAATAGTGAATTCACACTACCCTAGCCAAACCAGTATCGCCCACCCGCCATCTTCTGCAAAAGCTACGATGCGCGCGCCTTCGTTTATCAAAAATCATCATGTGTCAAAAATCCCTTGCAAACGATGTGTCGAAGTGCGCACGCACGCGTCGTCGCGTGCGCATGCCGGAATCCTTCAACAACTTTGAGTTCCGGAGGGTTTTCAAAATCGAGTTCCCAAAAAAACGGACAAAAACACAGGGTTCCGCAACACGGAATTCATAACAAAAAACTTACGCGCGCTCTTGCGAAATCTTGCGATAACCATGTTTTGTGTTGCAATACTTCCAGAACGTACTACCAAACGGGCTTCGCGCGCGCATGTCGAAATCGTTCGAACGCCTTTGCGCGCGTGCCGACGTGAATCTCTTCTGCAAGAAAATGAGACGGAACGCACGCGCGCGCATCGTCGCGCGCGCATGCCGAAATCCGTCAAAAACTTTTGGTTTCGGAAGAGTTCCAAAGTCGAGTGTCCAACAAACATACCAAAACATTCGGTTTCGCAACGCGGATTTTCAACAAAAGCGTGCGCGCGGGCTCTTGCGTCGTCGTCGTCGTCGTCGTCGTCGCCGTCCTCCCTCATCCCTCGTCGTCGTCGTCGTCGTAGTCGTCGTCGTCGCCGTCGTCGTCCTCTGTCTTTCCTCCTCGTCGTCGTCGTCCTCGTTGGCGGCGTCGTCGCTTCCGTCGTCGTTGTCGCCGTGGTCGTCCTTCCTCCTCCCTCGTCGTCGTCGTCGTCGTCTGTCGTCAGCGTCTCATCGTCGTCCCTCCTAGTTCGTTGCCGTCGTCGTCGTCGTCGTCGTATTCCCTCCTACCTCGTCGTTGTCGTCGTCGGCGTCGCCGTCCTCCCTCCTTCGTCGTTCGCGTCGTCGCCGTCCTCCCTCCTCCCTCGTCGTCGTCGTCTTCGTTGGCGACGTCGGCGTCGTCGTCGTCGTCTTCGTCGTCGTCGTCAATGGTGTCGTTGTCGTCGTCGGCGTCGGCGTCGTTGTCGTCGTCGTCGTCGTCGTCGGCGGCGGCGGCGACGACATCGTCGTCGGCGTCGGCGTCGTTGTCGTCGTCGTCGGCGTCGTCGTCGTCTGTGTCCTCGTCGCCGTCCTTCTCGTCGTTCTCGTCGTCGTCGATGTCGTCGGAATCGTCGCTGGTGTCGTCGTAGTCGGCGTCGTCGTCGTCGTTGTCGCTGTCGTCGATCACCGGGCTGTCGATGACATAGACCATTGCTAACGGACGCTGCGATGCGGTGATTCTCTTCGTCGTGCGGCAGAGCTTTTCCTCAACGCCTTGCTTGTCCGGTCCACTTTATCTGTTTCAGTCCGCAATGCGTTGTTCGAGAGATCTTTCCCGTTTCTAAGACTTTCTGATAACCAGCGGGGTAGCATTGCGAACTTCGTTGATCTCGACAGTTTCATTTCGCAGGTTGATGGCGATGTTTTCGGTACTTTCGCCAATCCCATGCGCGGTTCTAAAGAGGAGTTGTGCGACGCGGGGCTATGGGAGCTTTATATTAGCCTGGATCGAGCAGCGAGCTTGTGCGATGACTTTATGCGAGTTTTTATGGAGGACTTCTAAGTCGAAGCCCTGTATGACAGAGTTCGGAAGCAACTGAAGGGTTTCGGGGGGCCTGGCTTCCGAGCCAAGGAAGTTTTATCCGATGTATTTGACAATTGTGATTACTTCATTGACCGTGATGCCGATAGAGAAAGTGCGAAGCAGCAATATCACAGCTTGGTTGTCATCGGCGTAGGGCCTTGTCGGACGGCCAATTGGCTTTTTAACCGGCCTTTTGATTACATGGAGGATGGGCCTGCAGATGTGAAGGATCAGCACTATATCCCCGTCTTGCGGTATGCCGCGAGCCGCGCGCAGGTTGACCACAGCGACGCATGCAGTCAGATATCAGCCGTGGATTTTCTGTATGAATGCGGCGAGTTCAACAAATTATCTTTCCGTTCCTACTATTTATGCAGATGTCGTTTACACTGGCGCTTTAATGGGCATTCATGGAGCACTGGGCGCCTTCTCAATGTTTCGCGCGGTATCTGGAAAGACGTGTTTGTTTATTTGAAAACGCAGTCTAGGAATAGGAAGTAGATATTTGATTGTATCATTGCCAGATGGTCATTTCAACCTTTGCGACGTATCTTTAGGGCTCCCTGTTGGCGCGGAAATCCTTGCGGACCCTGATTGTGACTGGGCAGTTTGATGTGGCATCCCGCCTTCTGTTTCTGATTATGAGTCTGATCCATGAAGAATATCCAGCTGCCTACGGCGAGTCCCGCCACCGCGCCCGCCCAGCTGTCTCGGTGGTTTTTGCGCGAGGGCTCGCGGACGCCCTAACCTGCGCTGCGTTGTATCTCCAGGCTTGGCGGCGTTGGCGATGATGATGGCGATGGCGACGGCGATGGCGCGGGTGAGGAGGCGGATGGGGCGAGGAGGAGGGGGGGGGGAGGGCGACGAGGACAGAGAGAGCCGTCATACGTGACATCTTCTCGTCTTGGGCCGTCTGGGGCCTCTTTGGGGTCCTTTGGGGCGTCTGGGGGTGTTTCGGAGGCCCCTTGGGCGCGTCTTGGGCCATCTTGGGCCATCTTGAGGCCATCTTGGGCCGGTTTGGATGCACCGCGTGCCGTCTTGGAGGCATCCTGGGGTCATATTGGGCTCTCTTGGGGCCATCTTGGCCGTCGTGGAGGCCATCTTGGGCGTCTTGGGGGGCCTCTTGGGCAGCGTTAGGGCTCTTTTGGGGCCGTCTTGGAAAGAAGATTACCAGACGCCCTATCAGACCAGCACTTGGCATTCTAGCGCGCCTCAACGTGCCAGGGGGCGCGGTGGCGGATCAGCATCGCCATGCTGTCGCGCGACATATTGCGGGGGGCTTCTGGGGCGCGTTGGGGGTTCGGAGCGTTCGCGTGGCGTCGGGCCTCCTGGGGGCCCCTGGAGCGGGGGCGATAGCGCGGTGTCGGGCGGCGACGACGACGACGACGTCGACCGCGACGACTGCGACTCATATTGGGCTCTCTTGGGGCCATCTTGGCCGTCGTGGAGGCCATCTTGGGCGTCTTGGGGGGCCTCTTGGGCAGCGTTAGGGCTCTTTTGGGGCCGTCTTGGAAAGAAGATTACCAGAGACCCTATCAGACCAGCGCTTGGCATTCTAGCGCGCCTCAACGTGCCAGGGGGCGCGGTGGCGGATCAGCATCGCCATGCTGTCGCGCGACATATTGCGGGGGGCTTCTGGGGCGCATTGGGGGTTCGGGGCGTTCGCGTGGCGTCGGGCCTCCTGGGGGCCCCTGGAGCGGGGGCGATAGCGCGGTGTCGGGCGGCGGCGACGACGACGACGTCGACCGCGACGACTGCGACGACGACGCGCGACGACGGCGACCAGGACGACGACGACGTCGACCGCGACGACTGCGACGACGACGCGCGACGACGGCGACCACGACGACGACGACCGCGACGACCGCGACGACCGCGACAACCACGACGACGACGACCACGACGACGAGCGTCGGCCTTGGCCTCGGCATTGGCCTCCCATTCCTCCCCCTCCTTCTCCTCCCCCATCATCCCCCCCCCCCCCCTCCCCCCGCCAGACATCCCCCGTGGACGTTCGGGGGGCTCGCCAACTTTATCCACGCGCCTGCGGCGACCCCCGCCTCCGCGCCTGTGCAACGGCGCGGCGGGAAGAAGGATGTGTAGGAGGAGCGCATGTCTAATTTGCATGCACTCGCGCTGGTCGCGAGGTCGACCTCCTCTTCGCCAGCGCGGCGCCGGGGGGGGGGGATGAGTAGGGGGGGGGCGAAGAGGCGGAGGAGGAGGAGGACGCATATGCGTCGTTTGATTCCTCATGCTCTCTTGTGGGGCCTCTGGGTGCCCCTCGGGCCATATTGGGCCCATGCTTGTTTTAGATTGAAGACATATATAAGTAACAAGTTATAGATTTTGAGACCTTTCGAATCGGTCGAGTTATAATGCCCCCCCGGGGCCGTTTTTTCTGTTCGCCCGGGGGCGCGAAAAAAAAGACGCGGATATGTCCTAAACGTTGCGCAGTTGAAAGGGGGAATGCTGTCATGCGTTGAATGGCTTCCGGTATCGGTTTCAGATTGACGACGGAAATTATCAGGAATGCGATAGCATTGGGTGGACATATTCATTCGCGATTTATATTACAAGCAATCTCTTTGGCGATGTTTCCGATTTCCTGCTCAATGTTTGAAACTCATATTATTGAACCCCGTCCGTGTCATGTTTCCAGATTCTTGGCGAATGCATATCTTACGGGAGCGCGCTGCCGTGTTCAGAAGACGTAGCGTTTGCACGATTTCGCTTGTGTATGCGATCGTCGTCGCCCTTGACAGTCCTGGTTGGCGAAGGCGTGCGCAATGGGAAATTTGTGGAACATGTGAATAAGCGCCCAAAGCAATAACACAACATTAATGACATCTCCACACCGTAGCAAGCGAATTCGCCCGACCGGTTTTCGACCTGTCGTGTGCGTGTGTTCCGTGTGATGGATTTGTACATATTCGAGAAATACAGATCAACGCGTTTGTGTCTTGTGCAGAAATTGCCACACATTGCACTGGCATGGATTCTATAAAATTGTTTTCGCTGGTATCGATATCATTGTTGTGCGAATTCCTTAAAGTAAGAAAATGTTTGCGAAGCGCGTGTCGATGCATGCTGCAGCTGTTGCGCTCAAGATTCGGCCTTGGTTTGTTTCTATAGCGAAATGCAATACTCGTACGTGTCGGGCGTGAGAATCTAAGCGACGTCTCCATGACAACGGGGCAGGGTGATCAGTGAGAAGGAGCAGGAGAGCGCGAAGAGCGAGAGCCAGGCTTTTTTGCCCCCCCCCCCCCCCCCCCGCGAGAAAAATAACAAGGACGAGAAAGGAAAGGAGGAGGAGGAGTAGGACAGAGAAGAAAAAGTGCATGAGGGTGGTCGAGCAGCCGAGCAGCCGATCAGCTTTCGAACGGCCGGTCAGCCGATAAGCCGATCAGCGGTCGAGCAGCCGATCAGCTGATGAGCCGATCAGTCTTATCGGCCGATCGGCTGATCGGCCGCTGATCGGCTGACCGGCTATTCGCCGGATCGGCTATATCTTCCTACTTCTTTTCGTTTTTTTTTTTTTTTTTTTTTTTTTTTTTTTTTTTTTTTTTTTTTTTTTTTTTTTTTTTTTTTTTTTTTTTTTTTTTTCTCTTTTTTATAATATACCTCTGCGTCGTTGTCATCGTCGTCGTCGCCCTCGCCATCGCCATCGTCGCGCGCCCCAGCGTTTTTTTAATGTTGCTCGTCCGTGTTGTTTTCGCTCGTTATTGTCGTCCTTCGTCGTCGTCGTCGTTTGTCGCCGTCGTCGCCATCGCTTCTCGGCGGCATATTATAACAAGTACCAGCAGCTGCAGTAGCAGTAAGTGATTGTGCTAAGCACTACTTCCACTAAGTACGACTACCAGCCCTACTACGCGTTACTACTAAGTACTACTAATATGTATTTGTTATACTTACAATATACTAGTACGTAATACCAACAGTGTTGCAATGACAATTTGTTGTCTTATCATTCACACGTTGCATACATTATTAATGTAGATCAACACATGTTAATATGATACCTGGTTCTGGATGTATTGCATATATAGCTGCCGCATATAGGTTCAAGATGTGAAACAGGCAGTGGTACTTTGTCGTGCGCCATGGCGTACGAATTTACTTACATTGACGGCGTGGCCGCGATGGGGCCCACGCCAAATGTGCCTCCTTCCATCGCCTGGAACAAACTGGGCTTGCGTCAACAAGATTGCATTGCTAGCGGCGGGGGTTCGGGGAGTGCTGAACCTTTTGCTGGCCTTGTGGTTTTAAGTTGTCTTGCCGCAGTAACAACAAGTGTTAGCATGCTCTCTCCCCCCGTACCTTTGCCCAGAGGACAAGATATGGATTTCGCATGACTTCCAGATCGGCTGGGAGAAATGGACCTTCCAGCGTTGCGACGGCTACCGGGGCACGTTATCTATACCATTGTACCGATGTTTCCCGTTGCTCGATCTAGGTTTAACGCGGATTTGCGTTCGTGCCTCCGCGGATTGACCGAGGGGGCGCGTTCGCGCGTCCTGGAACCAGGAGGGCACGGCCAATTCGGCGCAAGAGTATATTCGGCGCCTCCCTAGAGCATGTCATGATGCACAAGCCTGCCGATCGCGCACTGGATTGGGTGGCGGTCCGCCATGTTCGCCATTCTCAAGCGACTGCCACCCTCGTGAGCTTCTGCCAGTGCATGCACCAGCTGTCCGTGCGGATCACGGTCGAGCACCCGCAGCATGTGATTCAGGATCTCGACAAGTACCTGTGCCATTGCGCCACCATGATCTTGCCCGTTAAGGCGCACGCTCGGCGCGATCTTGTCTTGCCAGATCATCGGCCCATCAAATTGAAGATCAACTAGCAGGTGGTGAGCAATTGCAAGCAGGTGGTTCCTTGCTTCAACCTGAGTCGCAAGCGCCGCCGCTGAGCCGCCGTGCCCCCCCCTATAGGCCCCGTGCTTTTCGAGCTTGCGTCGCGGTGTCGCTGCCCGCGCCGGTTGAAGAAGCTGGCAGATATCAGGTAAATAGGCCACAGAGACCTCGTGCAGCTTGAAACGGCAGTCATGGAGTCGCGCTGCGCATTAGACAGGAAAATAATAATGAAACAAAATCGCATGCGCGCTCGCAGGGCCGAGAGCGCCTCGGGCCCGATGGTCGGGCCGAGGGCGTCGTGGGAGAGGCGGGGCGGGCGGGCGGGGCAGGGGCGGGCTGGCTGCAGGGCTGCGCCAGAGGTGCGGGGCAGGCGGGCGGCAGGCGGACGTCGATAGGCGCAGGCCGAGAGGCCGCCAGCGGCTTCGGTGGCCCCGTAGATTTTGCCGCCCCGCTCACTCGCAGGATTGCCGCGGCGCCTCGGCTCGAGTTCCGAGGCCCGGGCGGTTTAGCGATCTGTTCCAGTGCCCTCGCAGCGCGCGGCCCCCATGACGTCGGCCGCAGCCTCCGACTCTTGAGGGCGCGCGCGTGCCCCCTGCCTCCGCGGCGGCGCCGCCTCCCGGGCGGCCCCCCCCCCCCCCCCGCTCTCTCAGCGCTCGCGGGGCATCGTGGATTCCTTGGGGAGCGCGCGGGCCCCGAGCACTCAGCGGCAGTGCTGGCGGCAGCCGACGGCGACGCCCCGGGCGCCTGCGGTCGAGATGATGCGCGGACGGCGGCGGGGAGGCGGAAGAAAATCCACGGCGCCGAGCAGTCGGGCGCTATCTCCGCAGATATTTCCGAGAAGGTCGACGCGAAGAAGGGCCGGCTCAGCCAGGTGCGCGCGGCGCCCGTGGCCACGAACACGGGGCTTGTCGCCGACGCCGAGAAGCGCGCGCTGATCGCGGTCATGGGGCGCCCCAACTGGAGCGCGGATCTCATCAAGCGCATCGGCGTCGCCGCCTCTGCGTGCGCCGCCCCCGCCCAGTGGGCGCGGGGGCCGTGCAGCACGTGCAAATGATCTGGGTCATGCTTGGCGACCGCCTTCTCCGCGCCCACGACGGACGGGCTTGCTTATTCGATGGGCATCCATCTCGGTTTCTTCGACGTCTTCGAGGGCCTCCTCCCGCCAGAGCTGCTCTTCGCGGCGTCTCGCTTCATGCTGACCCTGGAGGGTATGTCCAGGGATTTCCCGCGCGGCGCGGAGCGGATGGATTCCGCCATGGTCGCGGCCATCGACAGCGCCGTTGAGAACGCGGGCGCGAAGATCAGCGGAAACATACCTTACGCAGTTAAGGAGGCAGTCGCGCCCGTCTCGTTCCGCGACAATTGCAATTTCAACAAGGGCAATGCGACCCTGCAGAGAGCCGAGGGCAAGGGCAAGGGCGTCGCGGCGCAGGCGCCCGATTGCGAGGGCGAGGGCGAGGGGCGGGGGCGCGGCGCCGAGGGTGCCGAGGGCGACGACCTCACCGGGGCGTCCGACGCGCGGCGCATCGCGGTCGCCCAGACAATCAGCAAGGCATCGGCTAACTTACAGGCTGAACTTCTCAGTAGTAACGTAATGTCATACTTCATTGAGTGGTGCTCTCAGGACACCATGCGATCTGCTGGCGTCGCCTACGAAGACTGCATCGTGAAGTGCGACGTGCAGGGCGCCCCTGTGACATTCTCTTTGAGCGATCACTTCAGAACTCAGTTTACATTGGCATCCGCTCGCAGCTCCTTTCCACCGACCCCGTGCTCCACGCGGCGGTGGCCCGCGTGCAGAAGATATATTCACAGACGTTCTGGCCCATTCCAGATGCTTTCGTGTTCGGACAGGCGTCCCAGGCGCTCGCGAAGAGAGGCTACAACGTTGACACCATCACAGTGCACTGGGGACCTGGCGGCGTCGGTCTGAGTCTCCTTACGAGCCATCTTGAGGCGATGTACGGCCACAAGAACCATGCATATTTTATCCCCACGTATTTTTCGTCGATGACGAGTTGCGCAAGGTAGTCGAGCTGCTGGTAGACGGCTTCATCTTCACGGGTCAAGAACGACCCAGCGGACAACGTGGAAAAATGCGGGAGGATTGCGGCTCTGGCGTCAAACGCGCCGCGGTCCGTATATCGGCTACTCGCGCCCCGACAGCCGAAGAGCGCGCCGCCCGCGTCGTGCCCATCAATGTCGGGGCGCGAGGGCCGCCGCCGCGTCGCCTTGGCGCCAGGCCGCCGCCAGGACTTGCTCAAGAAGTTTGCTGCTGCGGAGGGTGTTTCCGGCAGACTTCCCTGTTCAATCTTGACCAACATGTTTCGCATTGTGGGTTGGAAGAGACCCGAGGTCAACAAGTTCTTGGTGTTTGACGAGATCGCAGAGCAGAACGTGGAATCGCTGATGCGCAGGCCGCGGCGAAGATACAGGCGAGATTGTTCGCTCGCCTGTATGTCGAGCAGAACTTCGGCGACGCCGCCGCCGCTGGGATCTTCGCCCGCGACCCAGATGCGAAGAAGTTTATCATGTTCTCCGTCGGCGTCGTCGCTGGGCATCGAGTGCAGTTCGCCTTCGAGGATGATCGCGGCGCAGAAGCGCGTCGCGACATAATCGTTCGGCATGCGCGCTGCGGTGGCGATCGAGGAGTCACGGGGAAGTCGCTGCGGCAGGCTTGCGGCCTCTTCGAGAAGACGTCGAACGTGGCCGGGTCCCTGCGGGCGGAGATCGACGCGCCCAACTCGCAGGAGCAAGAGAGCAGAGCCCCCAAGGAGTGGTTAGATTTCAGCGTGGCGCTCATTCGAGAATGTCACAATAATAACATGGACTTCCTTACGCTTCCAGCTTTCAAGGCGATGTCGCTGCCGACCAGTTGCAAGCTTCCTGGCCCGAAACCGAAGGCGTTTGCGCGCCTGCAGGCAGAGGGCCCATGGATGGGCATCGGAACGCTGGGCAAGGCGGCCGATCGCATCGCGCCGCGCATGCGCACCAATAACACCATGGGCGCGCTGATCGGAGAGAGTTCGATGGGCTCGTGCACCTACCCAGAGGTCTACGACACGATGTTCTTTCGGTCAGTATTCTTCGAGCACGGAGCTCGCAGAACTAACGCCGTGGTTTTGGCGGGTGCATTGGGCAAAGGTATTCGGCGCCGCGGCCGCCAGGCGGCCGACGTGGCTGCGCGCGAGGCGGCGCGGTCGGAGAGGGCTGAGTAAGTTCGACGCATGGAGTCCTGCATCGACACTTTGGCGGGCAGGGACAAGGGCGCAGGAGATCAAGAGGAGGCGCCTCGCGGCCAAGAGCAGCGGCCCGAGCTCGCAGGGGGAGTCGGCCCATGTCGACGACGAGGTTCCGATTGCGGTTTCCAGGGGGCGCCATCACAAGGTGGATTGGCCGTCGCAACCCTAAACTTTGATTAAGGATCGATCGCGGATCTTGCATCGTGGGCGGGCGGTGGATCGAGCGGCATCGGGATCTCGATCTTCGGCCCCGAGTGATCTCGAGTAGCCCGAGCGACTGTGAGGAAATATAAGGAGGATGAGAGGGCAGGGCCCGATCAGTAGAATCGGCCCGCGCTCGGCGGGCGCGGCGTCGCCTGAGGTCTCGCCTCTTCGTCGACGACGCCGTGGGCGCGCAGTCCATGGGCCGGCGCCTGCAGAAGGTCTCGCTCGCCAACACGTTCGATTTGGGCATGGGGAACTTCTTATTTTGCATCCTTCCGCAGATGTCGAAGCGGCTGGGCCTCCCGGGCGAGAGGGCTTTCGAAGAAGAAATGGCAATCTTTGATCGTCTGCAGAAGAATCGGCGCCGAGCTTGCGAGCTGGAGCTCAGCGCGGGACTGCCCGTCCGCAAAGGGGCCTTCCTGGAGGTTGTGCGCGGGGCATCCGCGCCCGTCGCTTTCAAGGGGAATGAGTTCCTCGCAGCCCTGTCCAGGGCGCCCAGGATGCTGAGGTGGCTGGCGGTTTCGCTGCTGCCTGAAGTGCACAGCGCGATGCAGCCGCACGAGGGGACATGGGCAGAGGTTTCTATATTCAGTTATCTATGGCAGGGCGTGGAGAATAACGTGCTGCAGCACGTGGTCAGTTGCATTTGCGGGGAGCGCGCAAAGCACTTGCTCTTGCATTTCGACTGCGCGCGCGTGGGCGCGGACCGCGTCGCCGCGGCGGGGGGCGTGGATAATTTCTGCTCGGAATGCTCTGCGCGAGTGCACGCCGCCACCGGCTACGATGTCACGTTGCGCAACAAGGGGCATTCTTATTTATGCAATATCCTGCGCGCGAAGAGCGAGGCAGTCGCCGATGACGGCGGCCCGCGCAGCAACGAGGACAACGAGCATCTGTTTCGCCAGGGCAACTGCATGCCCTGCGCGATCGCAGCACTGACTTTTCAGCGGGCGAACGCGCGAGAGAAAACCTCGGAGCCGCAGGGCGAGCTCTTCAGGAAGCACCGCGACGTGGCAGAGCTGCTGGAGCCACCGCTCTCCCCGAGGGCGAGCCTCCTGGACTCGCCAGGAAGGGCGCTACCTTCTTCACTCGGAGAACGGCGGGCTCTCGCATTGCGTCGGCGCGTTGATCCATGATGGGAGTGTCGCGATCGCCGAGGGTGGCGCTGCTCGCAAGATGAGTGTCTTTGCTTTCGAGTAATGCTACGCCGGCGCGCTCGACGTCAAGATGGTCGTGGCCTTCCGTCTGGGCGAGAGCATTGATGCTGAGGGGAGCGCGCGGCTGGGCGGGCTGCTGGATCTCCTGGCCGATGGGGCGATGACGGGCCGACTCCGCCGACGAGGAAGCGACGGCGCCTCGCCTCCAAGGCGGCAAGAGCAGCGCGCGGCAGCCCAGTGCCGTCGTCTTCGCCGTCTCCGACACCTCCAGCGCGCTCCGCAACTCGTTCGAACATCAACCCCAGGCGTCACAATGATCACCTCAATTTCTTCGAACTGCTGCGTGCGAAGGGCTTGGCAGTAGACGATTATGACAGCAGCGCGCCGAGCAGCGCGAACGACCGACTGTTTCGGAAAGGCAACTGCATGGCCCGCGCGTTCGCAGCAGCGACTGGGCAGTGGCAGAGCGTGCGAGAGAAGATTTTGGAGCAGCAGGTCGAGGATTTCAGGAAGTACCACGACGTGGCAGAGCTGCTGGGCACGAGGTTCTTCCCGCGGCAGAATCTCCAGGATTGCGAGGGAGGGCGCTACCTTCTTCGCTCGGAGAACGGCGGGCCCCCGCGCTGCATCGGCGCGGTGTTCCAGCACGGGGAGGTCGTGATCTGCGAGAAAGGCAAGGCGCAGAAGATGAGCGTGTCCGCTTTCGAGGAGTGCTACGTCAGCGCGCTCGACATCAAGACGGTTGTAGCATTCTGTCTGGACGGTAGCATCGACGATGATGAGAGTGCGCAGCTGGACGGGCTGCTAGATGTACTGGCCGCTGGAGACGACGAGGGCAGCGAGGCCAGTTGCGACGTGGAGAGCTTCGACGAAGGGACTGTTGACGTGCGCTCCGAGCTACTGCGAGCACTGAAGGCGGAGGTGGACGCCGCGAAAGCGGCCGTTCGTGGCGGCAACCAGTCGCGTTGCATTCTCTGCCCCTTTCAAAGTGTTCGACGAGAGCAGCCCCAAGGTGATGCGGAACTTGCTGACGCACCTGTGTAATTACCACAACCCAGAGAAGAAGAGCCAACGATTTGGCGAGAGGCAGACGGGCTTCGGTAACTATGTGGCGTCCGGCACGAAGCAGATGGAGATGATCTTCGCGATGTTCGACTCAGATCGATGCCAGGGGAAAAGCCAGGGCCGGTATCCCGAACGCAGTGCCCAGATGTTGCGAGAGAGCGTGAAGCCCGCGCTGACCTGCCTCAGGATTGATCGCGGCATCCGTCTCCTGTTGGACGGCGCTGGGCCGATATTCATCAACGCGTCCGCCGTCGTGCCCGAGCCGCCCGAAGGCCCGACGACGCTGGCGAGGCGTGTCGGAGATACGTACAACAGCCACGCATTCGCATATTTTTCATGAGGAACCACGGGCGCGCTCGGCCAACTCGCGCGCGCATCGTGGTGGGATGCGCGGGGGCAGGGTCGCAGCTGACGCACTTGCTTCCGCAGGGGGTCCCTCAGTGGCTGGAGCTTCTGGAAGATCCCCTCAGCGCGCCAATTGTTCGCGCCGCGCGGGAAAAAACTCATGCAGCAGTTGCTCGAGCACGAGGAGTTCGTGCACGTGTCGATCGACGCCGCCACCAGGGCGGCCATGCGCATCAAGGGGCAGGCGAATTACCGCGACTCTGCAGAGAAGAGAGCCTCCACGCCATTTGACGACACGGTGGTCAAGAGGCGCATGCTCACAGTGCGCGGCCGCACGGCGGCCGTTGCAGGCATGTGGCCGATCGCGTCTGAGGCCGCGCGGAACATCGAGGATCTGCTTCAGATGCGTCTTCCACAAGCAGCTCTCGATCAGTGCCGCTCGCTCGCGACGGACGACCCTTCTGGTAAGTTGTACGGCCAGCTGCTAGAGATCTGCAAGAATTTGACCTGGCTGTCCTTGGACCCCGCGCACCTAGCCATCTCTTACAATTCGGCTCACTGGAAAAAGCACACGCCGTAGGCTTAGTTGTTGTCCGACGTCGATCGTGCCACCTCCATGATCGTCGTCGTCGTTCGAAGATCCCGATCGTCGATCGTTGGCATCTGCGATCGCCATGACCGCCCAGTGAGACTGTGCCGAGGCCAGCGGCATGGTTCTGAACAAGTTCAACAATATGGACTACCAGGCTACCTCGGACGCGTGGGGCCCAGCGTATTCTGGTGGACAAATGCCACCTCTGACCCCGGATCAGAAAAGATGCCGGGACGCAGTGAAGAGCGGCGCCGTGCCCAGTCGAGAGGCGCAGCGCCTGCTGGACAACCTGAACGGGGAAGAGCATGTCAGGAGCGCCGGTGATTTCGCCAAAGCCATGGCGGCTATTACGTCAGCGTGTTGGGAAGAGGCCACTTGCGCAGATGCTCTCCGCTCCTGCCCGATCGCTTTCATTCGTTCGCTCGATCGCCATTCGTAATGCCGCCGTCGATCGCCTGATCAAGATCTCCATGCCGACGATCTTGTTTTCTCGGGTGACACGCGGCGCAGCGAGCGGGCGGCTCTTGGTAGATGTGCCCTGGCCGGCTACGTTGTTGGAGCGCGCGCAGTTCTTGTTCAACAACACGCGGATGCGCCATTCTCTACCCAAGAAGTACCAATCGTCATTTGGTTCTGGCACCTCGCCGAACGAGGCGCTGCGCGCCGAGGTCAACAGGTGGTTCCGCAACCAGCCCGAGCTCTACCTTGAGGCGCTCGAACCGCAGCTGGCGGCGGCCACCCGCGCCAAGCTGATCGCGCGCAACGCCGCCATGTACGCGCCAGCTCTGAGAGCGCTCACCTCGCAGACAGTGCTCGCGACTGCGATGGGCCGCCAGCTCGCATCCCCCGGCGAATAGTAGCGCTTCTGCGCGGCGCAGGCATCTGGCGTCGGCGCGCCTTCGAAGGCGCGCCTGCCTAAGGGCACCCGGCGGAAGGCATTTCATTTTTTGGCCAAGCAGTGGGCAAAGGATCGCAATCATTTTAAGCAGATCGTTCGGAAGCGGCCGGCGGTTATGAAGGTTGCGCAGAAGAGGCCAGCGGCAGTGAAGGGGGTCAAGCGCACCCCCTTCACTAGGAAGTAGGAAGCGGACCATCCGTCAGATCGGCTTCCACTCGCAGCTTTGATGCGTGACCCAGAAGGTGCTTTTACAAGTACTTCAGTTGTGGATATCTATGAAGTAGCAACAGGCTCAGCTGTAGAATGCGGTTGTGAGGGTTGTCTGTTGGCAGGCAAACGTTTAGACCTCATGCCGCTTCTGGGGCGCTCCTCACGCGACCGCTGAGGGCTTTGGAATAGCATTCGTTCTTCAAATCTGACGGATGAACATATCGGCATGTCGAGGCAACTAGCCCAGGCGCTTCCTGCCTCGCTCGGTCAGCTCGGCCTTGCAGCCCAGTCGTCCAGCCCAGTCGTCTAGCCCAGTCGTTCAGCATCAGAATCCAGCCAGCTGCGCTGCCGCGCATATCCGCCACCACGCTCGTGGAGCTCTTGGGCGGACGTCTTAAAGGAAATGCGGGGGGGTGGAGTACGTTTGGGAGCGTTTTGAAAAGCTGTTTTGGGGCCTATGTGGTACGTCATCAGGAACTCAGCACATTCAAATAATTGAATAATTAAATTAGTCTGAATAATCTAAACAGTTTCAATCAGAATTCAAATAAATCAAATTATCTAAAATTCGTGGAATTGTGTAAATGATTCAAACTATTTAAATTCTTTGAGTTTGTTTAAATGTGCTGGTGTGTGAGAACGCCTGCCTGCTGATCCGGCTTCCAGCACATTGAAAGGTGTTAAACAATTCAAATCTTTTTAATAATTTTGATAATTGAAAAAATCTGTACAGCATTTGAAATTGTTCAATTATTGAAATGTGCTGGTGTGTGAGAATGCCTGTCTGCAGATCCGGCTCGTAGCGGATTTGAATAATGTAAATGCTTTAAGCAATTGAAATTATTGTTTAAATTACAGAAATGATTTAATTATGCAAAGTATTTAAATGTGCTGATGTTTGAGAATGCCTGCCTGCTGATCAGGCACTCATCACATTTAAACCATTTCAATAGTTGAAATAATTTAAACAATTTCAATACGTGTCATACTTTGAACATTGTAATAATTCAAATATTTTGGGTTGTTTAAATTATGTAAATTATTTAAAGTATTTGAATGATTGAAATTATTTAATGAATTTAAATTGTTATGGGAGTCGGATCTGCAGGCAGGCGCTCTAACACAAGCACATGGTTCAAAACTCGAATAACTTCCAAAATCTAGATAATTTCAATAACTCATATAAATTCAATAATATGAATAATTTTAATAATTCAGACAATTCAAAGAATTTGAATCATTAGAAGGAGTGATATTCTTCGTTTATCTTCATGTAGAGCTCACGGGGCGAGTAGAGCTCAGGGGACGCATCGACCTTATTTGTCATTCATTCGTATATATATAGAGAGAGAGAGAGAGAGAGAGAGAGAAAGAGAGAGAGAGAGAGATAGAGATATAGGTGTGTGTGGGTCTCTCTCTCTCTCTCTCTCTCTCTCTCTCTCTCTCTCTCTCTCTCTCTCTCTATATATATATATATATATATAGTCCCGTGCACCCAAGCGCCCGGGGCGCGGGCCACGGGAGGGCATGGGAGGACCAGAGTTTCCCAGACCGCTCCCAAAACACCCCGGAGCGGCCCTGGAGCTCCCAGACTGCCCAAGACAGCTCCCAGAAGCCCTCGGGGACTTCGACCAGCCCCTCCAAGAAAGCCAAGATAGCCCCAACGTGGCCCAAAATTGGTTCGATACCGCAAATACACAGCCCAAGAGGCCTCCAAGAGGCCTCAAAAGAGCTCCGAGAAGCATCCCGAGAGCGCCCGAAGAGGCCCAACTCATTGATTTCCATTTGTTTGTTCGATGTTTTTTGGGTTCTCGCGTTTTTGACCTTCCGACGCTCCAATGCGGCCGACGGCGCCCCCAAGACCGCCGAAGAGGCCCCCAGGAGAGCCCCGAGGCGGCCTTCGTAACCCGAAAATTGCCCAGGACGAGCCCCAGACGGCTCAAGAGAGCCCCAGGACAGGACCGCCCCAATACCGCCGAAACGGCCCCAAAAAGAGCTCCAAGACGGCCCCAGAGATCCCGAAGACTGCCCAAGAGCAGCCCGAGATTGCCCAAGAGAGTCCCAGGAGAGGCCTAAGGCCCCTGAGCGGAAGGCCCCAAGGCGTTCCAGGACGGCCCAGGTGATCCCAACGTGGCCCAAGATGAGCTCAAGACGGCAAACGCACAGCCCAAGAGGCCTCTAAGAGGCCCCAAGGGAGCTCGGACAAGCGTCCCGAGAGAGCCCGAAGAGGCCCAAACCATTGATTTTCACTTGTTTTTCAATGTTCGCCGCTTTCTCGCGTTCTCGAGCTTCCAGCGCTGCAAGACGGCCGAAGACGCTTCTAAGACCGCCCCAAGGCCGCCGAAGACGCACCAAAAAGAGCCCCAGGACGGCCCCTGAGAGGCAGAACATTGCCCTGGAGGAGCCCCAAACGGCCCAAGAGAGCCCCAGGACAAGCCCAAACTGGGCCACAGAGCGGGAGCGGGAAACCCCAAGACCCCCTCCGTCCCTACCTCCCTCCCGCCCACTCCCCTTGCCTCCATTCACTCTCTCTCCTCTTCCTCGCCTCACCCCTCAGCTTGCGTGCTCTTCCCTCCTTCCCTGGGACGGCCCCGCCAGAGCGCCAGACAGGGCCCGCCAGAGCGAGCGGGGCATCGCTATACCCTATCATTTCACTAGTTGCTTTGCCCTTCCCACCCCTCAGAGGGGGGCCCCGGCAGAACGAGAAGGGTGTTGCTATACCATGTACAGTCCTTATTTCTTGTTCCTCCCACCGCACCCGAAGTAGTCCCATCAAAGTGCACGATGTATGCCTCTTCCATCATTTTCATATTTTGTCGTGCTCCTCCCTCCCCTCTTGGGCAAGCCCCGCCAGAACGCCAGGGAAACCTCCGCCAAGAGAGCAGGGCATCCCTACACCATTCGTCTTTCACGCGATTCTTGTTCCTCCTACCCTTGCAGGGCGGACCCGCCCGAGCGAGCGGGGTGTGGCTTTACCACGCAAGTTCTCCGGTTCCGTACCCCTCCTTCACTTCCTGAGAAGCCTCGCCAGAGCGCCAAGACGGTACCGCTAGAGGCTCCGTCAGAGCTCCAGGCAGCCCCATACATGGGACTTGCCAGGCACATCATTGAGCATCCCCCGTGAGCCCAAACCTTCTGATTCCACGGGTGCGATTATCGCCGGCATGAGGTTTGGCGTCCAGCACAAAGAAGCTTCCCCACTCCCGTGGACGGACTCGACAACAACTGATAGCAGATATTGGCAGTGATGACCGGGACATTTGCGCGCTTTCTGCAGATACCCAACGAGAAGCTTGGAACACAAGGAAGAGAAAAAAACACGATTCGCCCCCACGCGCGCACAACGAGGCCCCGAGCCAACCTCAACATCATGAGCCGGCGGATGCCTACGTGATCGGGCATGGGGGAACCGAACAGACGTGCGAAAACATTGAGTGTCACGACGGGGCAGAGCGGCAGTGAAAAGGGGAGGAAAAGGCACAGTTCGATAAACCAAACAAAGGCGGCAGCGAGATTGTGAGATGCGCGGGAACGTGGCGCCCCGCGTTCTGACTACGCGTTTCTTTGCGTCGATGGCATGGGCCCGAGAACGCTGGAAGTCGTCGTTGTGGCCACAACGGGGCTTACAGCGGCATCCGTGGTCCATCTGCGAGTAGGGCCTAAGCGCGCGCGTAGCGCGCGCGTGGTTATATATACATATATATACATACATACATACATACATGCATACACGTATATGTATAACCGAATATCTATATATACAAACATATATATATGTATATAAACATATTCAACATGATGTACTAAAATACCAGCAACTCGAATATACCATCGTGTAATATAGTATATTAACGTATAGTGCACTTTCATATTATAATGTAGTATAATACAAAACGATATAGTTCCCTACCTAGGCTCTGCCTAGAAGGGTTCTTACCGTGTTGGCTTAAAGGGCCGGGCAGTGTTCCACGCCCCCGGCGGTTCCCCCAGGATCCGCCCCGCGGTTCCCCCAGTTGCGCCCCCTGGTTTCACCCAGCTTCGCTTAGCTTAGCTTAGCTTAGCTTATTTCATGTTAGCTTAGCTTTGCTTTGCTTAGCTTTGCCTAGCCTAGTTTGGCTTGGCTTAGCTTAGTTTAGCTTAGCGTAGCTTAGCTAAGCTAAGCTTAGCTTAGCTTAGCTTATCTCATCTTAGCTTAGCTTAGCTTGGCTTGGCTTGGCTTGTTTTAGCTTAGCTTAGCTTAGCTTAGCCTAGCCAAGCTTAGCTTAGCTTAGCGTAGCTGGGCTTACCTTAGCTTAGCGCAGCGCAGCATAGCGCAGCGCAGCATTAGCACAACATAGCATAGCATAGCATAGCCAAACATAGCACAGCATAGCATAGCATAGCTCAGCATATCATATCATACCATATCATAGCATAGCGCAACATAACATAGCACAGCATTGCTTAGCATAGCACAGCGCAGCATAGCATAGCATAGTATAGCATAGCATATCATAGCATAGCATAGCATAGCATATCCTAGCCAAGCCGAGCCTAGCCCTGCATAGCATCGCGCATCATATCATAGCATAGCATAGCATAGCATAGCATAGCAGAACATAGCATAGCATAGCGCAGCACAGCACCCACTATTGCTGCTGCTAGTGTTGCTTTCCTAGAGGCTCCAACTCCTAGGTCGGGTCGCACTGGGATAATATTCTTTAGCATAATACAAAACCTTATCATATAATATGATATAAGTAATAAGTGTATTAATCCCGCCCTCCCCCCGGCCCCGGGTCCCACACTTCCCCGTGACATCTCCGGGACGCTCCCGGTATCTCTCCCCAGGTCTTGCGGGGGAGCTTCCGCAGCGCCCCAGGAGGGCCCAAGACGCCCCCCATGAACCCCCAGAATGCGAAAAGATGACCCAAGACGCCCCCAAGCAACCCGGCTTTCGAGGCTCCCAGGTGGCCTCCAAGAGACTCCAAGAGAGGTCCGAGAGGCGTCCCGGGACGGCCCGAAGAGGCCAACACCGTCGATTGTCATTGTTTCGTTCTAGTGGTTTTAGCTTCTCGCGTTTTTGAGCTTCCAACGGTCCAAAGCGCCGAAGAGGTTCCCCAAACCGGCCCAAAACCATTCAAGAAACGTTCAGGACGGCCCCAACACGGGCCAAAAAGGCTCCAAGACTACCGAATAGGCGTCCAGGACAGCCCCAGACCACCCCAAAACAAGCCCAAGATGGGCCCAAGAGCGTGGGCAGGAGGCTTCCAGAGACCTCCGAGAGGCCTCCGGGATCACCCAGAGGCCCCCAACACACCCCCGCTCCCTGAGAGGCCTCGAAAAGACCCCGACGCGGCCCCAAGAACAGCCCAAAAGAGCTGCGAGAGCCGCCCCGGGAGAGCCCAAAGAGGGTAAAATCGTTGATTTCCATTGGGTTTTCCAATGTGTTTCGCTTGCTCACGTTTTGCCGCTTCCAATCCTCAAAGATCGAAGAATTTGGAGGAGAAAGGAAATTCCAAACACTTTTTTTTGTCAAAGTGCAACTCCTACTCGGTGGTCCTACATATCCCCTGGCATTTGGCCGGTACCGTGCCTCCCGGCTTCATGACGACCCCAAGAAATTCCCAGAACGTAAAGAAAGGCCCAAGACGCTCCCAAGCAATCCAAAACACCCTGTGGACGGCTCCCTGCGCTCCCAGGAGGCCTCCAAAAGGCCTCAAGAGAGGTCCGAGAGGCGTCCCGCGACGGCCCGAAGAGGCCCAAATCGACGATTTTCATTATTTTTTCAGTTTCGAGCTTGCAACGGTCCAAGACCGCCCCAAGACCGCCCAAAAGATTCGACGGGTCCAACACGGGCCAAGAAACCCCAAAAATTACCGAAGAGGCGCCCGGTACCGCGCCCCCCGGCCTCCTGGGGAGTTCCCAAAATATTCCAGGACGCCCCAAGATAGCCAGAACCCCTCATAATGCAAAAGAACAGCCGAATATGCTCTCAAGCAGTCCACAACAATCTGTCGACGGCTCTCCAGACTCCCAGGAGGCCTCCAGAAGCTTCCAAAACATTGCAAGAGAACTCCGAGAGACGCCCCGATAGAGCCCGGAGAGCAACAGCAACCATTGAATTTCAAGTTGTTTTCCGAAGTTTTCGATTTCTTTCTTAGTTTGTTGTTCCAAGGTTGCCCCCCCATCTCCTCTTGCACAACAGACTAACAATTCAGAACCCAGGAAGCCTGTGACGGCCTCAAATCGCTGAAACCCTAAAAGTGAAGTAATTATTTCTGCGTTTCCGCATTTCCCCTTCTATACGATTCCGAGGCTTGCGCAGGGCCTCCAAGGGAGTCCCTGGACGCAAGACGCGACCAACATGATATTACATGAGTTAGCCGATCAAGCCTAGCTAGAACTTGAGCACGCGCGAAGCGCGCGATGGTTCTAGTATACATATATATATATATATATGTATGTACATGTATATGTGTATGTATGATAGTTTGCACCACGCGGATGGTCCCACATCGATGGCCCAACACATATTGTTAGAATCACGATGTGTGGGGTCCATGCTGGCTAACGATATATAGCATGGCCTTCGGTGGCTCCACCGTGCCTGGGTTGTGGGTCTGCAACATACTGGATCTTCAGTGGGACCTCGTGGGAGGCCTCTTGGAGGCAGTTTGGGGGCCTCTTGGGGGTTGCTTTGGGGCCTGTTGCGGTTTCTTTTGGGTTTATTTGGGGCCTCTTGGGGCTTTCTGGGCGTCTCTTGGAGCCTCCTGCGTGCCTCCTGAGTGCCTATTGGGGCTTCTCCCGGGGCCTCCTGGGGACCTCCTGGGGCGGAAGGCTCGGATTTTCGGTTCGTGCTCCCTCTCTTGGGCCCCCTTTGGGGTCCTCGTGGGCCGTCTTGGACGCCTCTGGGGCCGTTCTTGGGCACTCTTGGGCCGTCTCGGGACACTATTGGAGGGCTCTTCAGCCGTTTTGAGATGTGTTTGGGTGCCTCTTGGGCCATCTTGGAGCACTGGAAAGCCGAAAAGGCTAGAACGCCCAAATCCTTCAAACACCTGATGAAATTTAATTGTTTGTCCCTCTCGCGGCCCTCTTGGGAGGCATTTTGGAGGCCTCTTGGGGTGTCTTGGAGGCCTTTTGGGCCATCTTGAGGCCATCTTGGGCGTCCTAGAACGATCTTTCGGCGATTCGGGGCCTTGGACCGTCTTGGGGGCCTCGTGGGGCGGCCCTCTTGGCCCGTCTTCGGGCCCTCTTGAACCCGAGAAAGTCATGCGGAACCACTTCCCGGAGCCCAGGGGGCACGCGGGAAACCCCGGGAGTTTTACCAATTCGGGGTCCAGGCCCCTTAAAGATTCCCCAGGACTGAGGACTGAGGCTCCAGAGATTAGGCAAAGGACCTGAGGACACGCCCACTCCACTCCGTGCCCAGAGGCACGGTGCCGGATATGTGTGCACTTTCCGAAACGGTGCTTGCACTTCGGGTTCATGCTTCGTTTCGAAGAACTGGGCCCGTCTGCGGGCCCAGCGGCCCCGTCGCCGCCAATCTTCGCCAGACACAACCCCGTCTGCGGGCCTGGCGGCGCCGTTCCCGTCCGTCGCCGCCCCAGTTTTCCAAGAAAAAGACCTGTCTGCAGACCCGGCGGCCCCGTCCCTGTCCTTCGCCGCACACGTCGCAAGCTTTGCATTGCTATGCGCTGCTTGGCATTATGGTGCATTGGTTGATATTGCGTTGCGTTGTTTTGCATCGCATCGCATTGTTTCGCATCGCATTGTATAGGTTTATATTGGCTTGCATTGTTTCGCATGGCTTTGACTTGCTTTGCACCACCTAGATTGCACAGCAGATATGTCACTATGTGAGGTCTCATTTCGCTAGCAACATGAATGTATAAAACTGCCTGGTTACTCTCGTGAACAGAATTGGCCAGAGTGTCGGCCAGATATTGCCAGGGTGTGCGGTCGCGATACTTGTCGTCAAGTCAACGATTCATTGCATGACATATATTCTAGCCGGGTAATGAGGCATGAAATGCGGGGACGTGTGCAACACGGCGCCAGATGAATATGGCGGCGGCGTCTTCTACCTCAATGAGCAGACCAACGAGACACAGACGGAGTTCCCTGATGAGCAGGATGTGTTCTTGTTGGGGTGGCCTTCCGATTTTCATTGGTGCCCCGTCTGAAAATGCCAAGTGTGATAATGGGCGTTTGGTACGCATTTGTTCCTCTGCATTGTTCGCGCGCCCCGCCACACATACCTGCGGTTCCTCCCTCCCTTCTGCGCGCTACCAATGCATTATGAATGTGCGTGTGTGCCCATTGCTCTCAAAATGTGTGATCTCTGCTTGCGCATCTCTCTCTGTCTCACCCTCCCTCTCCGTTCTTACGCTTCTCCTCCATGCAAAAGTGTACAGGTGCGTTCTGGAAGCATGATTTTGTCTTCGTTCCGTGGCAATTGTTCCACATTCAGCATTGATTATCCTTGTGTTTGCGCCTGCCTCATTTCTCAGCTGTCCTCCGCAAATCCCGCGCAGCGACAACATGCATGCGTGAAGGTAGTGCCAAACTCTTCCGACTGGAGTTTGACGGCAAAATCTTGGAACCGTTTGGACAGTGGCGTTGAGATGCCGCAGTGTGGTGTGGCCGTAAAGTCGTGTGATGATCGTGTGGCCTTCCACGGGATGATGTGATGCCTCCTGGAGGGTTGTGTGGAGCTCCGATCGTCGCTAAGCCCCAAGGCTTGGGGCCTCGTCGGGGGCTTCGTCAGCTCGCCATCCCGAACACAAGCTGGGAAGAACCATCTTAGGGCCGCCCGCACGGTCTGTCTTCGCTGCCCTCTCGTGCCCTTTTCGGACGGTTTGGGGCCGCCTTGGGTTTTGTTGTGGGCTTCACTTGTCGCCGTCTTGGGCCATTCAGGGGAGTTGTTGGACTGTCTTGCGTCCTGGGCCCACTGCGGTATTTCAGAACACGTCGTACACCGAAACACCTCGAAACATACAGTGCAGTGAGCAACTTCAGCAGCGTGTTCAATTTGGTTTGCCGCCTGGGGCCTTGCTAACGCGCTCCCTGGGCCTCGTCGCTATGAAGAGCTCTTTTGAGACATCTTAGAGCACCTGGGGGTCTGGGCGGTTTGTTTGGAGCCGGGCGCGATGCACCTTGGAGTCATCCTGACCCTGAGGGGCCGTGGGGCTAGAGGTCGCCCGCATGGGCGCGAAGATGTTGGCGCCTCGTTCAGGGGCGGCCCGACCGTGAGGGCCCCAAGGTATAGTCGCGCGCTCGCGATACGAGAAGCGCGGGCGCACGTGATATCACACAGGGGAAAACGCCAAGCGGTGGCTCATGAGAAAATCCTGGGTCACCCCAAGTGGCGCGAAGGTACTCGCACATCGCGCGTCGCGGTGTGGGCCAGATCTGTCCTTTGCTAGGGTGGCCTCGCGAGGGCGCGAATGTCACCGCACATCGCGGGGCGCGATGCGCGAAATTAGGTGTCATAAACGAAGGTAGAGGTAGCGAGAGCGAATGATGATCCACTGTAGGTATTCTTGTTGTCTATCCTCCACTCTCTGCACTCTTTTTTCTACTCTCTGCCCGTTGCTATGTTTTTGTGTGTATCCGTAAGGTCTTCGCCCTCTGCTGCGGTTCCCCGCTCTATCAGAATGGGGCATGCAGGAGTTATGTTGGGATGCCTGGGCGCCGTCGCGAACCAGTATCGAGACCTCATGCGAGGGCGATTGGGAACCTTCAAGACAACATTGGATCCAGATGATCTTGTTGATCCCCCTGTTTTTCGAACTTCCCCTCATGCTGTGTACTGGAAGCCCTCTCGCAACGATCGGGGGCTTCTTGAGGCTACGTTGGGCAAAACCAAGCGGCTTGGACGGACTTCGGGTTCTTCTCAGTAGCTTACCGGGGACAGTGTCTTCGGGGACGCGAGTGTGGCGTAATTTGATATTGATCTCAGCCTCTGGTGCTCGAGCACGGCGTAATTCACCAGATGTTATAGCATCGTCGCGAGCATTTTTTAATTTACAAGGATCGTTGCCTTGGGGCCCAGGAATTTTGCGTAGTGTACAGGGACCGTGGTCCTGGGGACGCGAACATAGAGCAAATTACAAAGAATTGTGGCCTTGGGAACGCGCACGTTGCATACTTTACCAGGGGACGTGGCCTCACTAACTTACGAAGGATCGTGGCCTCGGAGAAGCGAACATTGCGTAATTTACGAGGGTCGTGGCCTCGAGGGCGCGAGTATGGAGTAATGGTTAAAAAGAGTCGTGGCCACGGGGACGCGGATATAAAGTCACTTTCTAGGGGTCTTGGCCTCGGGGTCGCGAGTATGGCGTAATTGTTCAGGGATCGTGGCCTCGGAGACGCGAACACGGTGTGTTGTAACATGGAAGGGATCGTGGCCTCGGGGACGCGAGCATGGAGTAATTCATTAGGGATCGTGGCCTCGGGGAAGCGAAGATTTAGGAACCGTGTTTTAGGATATGCGACTATGGTGCAATGTGCTAGGGATCGTGGCCTCGGGAGTTCGACGAGTGTATAACTTACAAGGGATCGTGGCCTCGGAACCTCGAGCGTGGACTAAATTTCGATGAATCCTGGCCTCGGGGGCACATACACCTGATAATTTACGAGGGGTCGTTGTCTCGGTGCGCGAATCTAGCATCTTTTTTTAAGCCCCACGGCCCCGCAGGAATTCTGATTCCGTGATTTGGAGACGCCAGAATGCGGGTTTGGGGTTCCCTCCCCGCGCAGACTTCAACAGTTCACATTAGGAAGCAGGAGGTAGAGCTAGGACATGGGATACTTGCAACTGACACCTGAGCAGGGAGCAGCACGCCGAACCCTCGCAGCCTGATGGCCCCACAAGGGGGCCAGCGGACTTATCCCCTTCTATATGTGATTTCTGCCCTCTACTCTCCGCGGCGCCCAGGAGGCCGATGCCGAGGCCCTGCTGGAGGAGCCCCCATCCGCCATAGGGCGATCGGCGGGGGGACAAGCGACGCCGCCACGGGGCCACCCGAGCGAGGAGGTCCGAGATGCTCGAAGACGCTTTCGGAGGTACGCGCGGAATTCTTGCATCGGGCTCTGGGACCACCTGGTGGCGCCTCTGGCGCCGACCGTGGCGCGCTCCAGGCGCCGGGGAGGGGGGCCCAGCCCCGATCCAAGAAATCCGCGCGGACCTCCAGAAGTGTACAGTCGGAGCGAGGTTAGAAGATCGAGGTCGATTCGGGGTGGGTGCCCTAGTGTTCTTGGTTGTTGGATGTTCTTATGCATCCTGGGGAGGGTACCTTCGGATGTTCTGTGTGTGTTGGCCGGCGGAGGGTCTCAGTGTCCCGTGTTTTTGAGGGATGTTCTTCTAGCCTACGTCCGATTGTAGTCTTCCTTCCTTAAGGAGTTGATGATCCATGTGCCGAGCATGTTCGTTGGGTGTGGCGTCGCGGGTGGACTCGAATTATGTTCCGCCCAGCATGTCGCCGCCCACTACCTTCATCTGCAAGATCTTGCCCGCATTCTGCGGCAGCGGAGCAATCGGTAAACTCTGCGCCGACGCGTGTTTGCGTCGACTGGGCCCAGCGCCCGATTGCACGAGGGGCAACTCCAGGCTCCGCTGCACAGTTCCCGTCGCACTCAGAGGGGCTCGGGAAGCGTGACCGCCGCCGGCAGTTCCACGCGTTTTATTCGAAACAGCCAGCAGTTCTCCTTTCACTAGCCCAAAACATACCCGGACCCGGGGTCAGCTGGGGTGAAAAGGGCCGCCCGCTAGAGCGTTTTCGGCCTTGCCGCCACCTCGTCTGGGTACGGGTCGGTGCCCGAAACAACCATACATACCCGGACCTAGCTGGGGTGGTGGTTGGGTCACCCCGTCTAGGTACGGGTATGTATGGTGGTTTCGGGAGCCGACCCGGACCCAGGGGGGGTGATGCCCCGAGGGCCCTTTGCCACCCCGTCTGGGTAAGGGTACGGGTATCTTTCGCGCTCGAGATCCTTGAGTCTAGAAAGGCTAGAACGGCGGAACGACAGCCAGAAAACAACGAAATCACATAACCATTGCTCTCATTCATTGTTCCAGAAACACCACATTCATGCTACAACGACGGATTTTCAGCCGAACCGAAATCGCATGTAGCGACATGGGAGACAATATCATTGTGAAGGCCTTGCAGCCGGTGCCGCCTACCCTGAAGGCTGGACCTTCCCGAGGACCTCCGTTGGCAACTATTGCAACACGGGTGATACATTCGACGACGACGCGAACGAGGTTGGAGTTCTGACATCCCCTCTGTGTGCCAACCGCGTGCTCGTGTGGGCTGCGACGACAGCCCGCTTATGTAGGACGGTGATTCCCTGACCATGGGCAGGGCCCAGAAGGCCATCCAAGTAGCGTAACGTATTTCATGGGGGGCCGCCACAATTTTGCACGTCGTACGCAGGCCGATACACAATGTGCAGTCCATCCTGGAAGTCACGAAGCTACTGGACGAGAAGGGTCTTGATGTGCAAGCGCCAGTAGATGTTCCACCCCACATTCCACCCTGCTCCATATCGATGCCACCCGAGTGCTTAGATGTGAAGCATCGTGATCATTCCAGAATCAAGTTTCAAAGCCGTTAAATAGTTTCTTCGCCCTGTGTTGGGCCGTTTGGCCTTTCTAAAGATCTTGTGGGTTCCACGGACACCCGGGGACCTTCAGGGACCTCCTGGGGGCCTCCACTGCAACGTCGGATAGCTCAATGTAGGTTTAAGTACCTCGTTGAATTTCACGCTGAAGCCCACTGCCTCTGGCGCGCCGCGATGCACACATCGCAGTGCTCTGTGGACAAACACCCGCGAGACTAGACAGGCGTTTGCCGCCCCACTTTCGTCAGTTCCTCTTACTCTCCCTTCCCTCACTCACCATTCCCTTTCCTCTCCCCCGTCCCTCCTCCCCTCTCTCTCCTATACCATTCCCCTTGTGTCCCCCCTCCATGCCCCGCGTCTCGGGCTCAGGCAGCGACGGTCGTCGTGGAAACTCAGACCCTGGGATCCTCACGTTTCGGTCCGAGTCGGGAAGCACCACCATAAGTTAGGGCACGCGCAGGGGCGCAAAGACGACCGCGTTTCGCGGCCTGGGCCGAATGTATGCTCTTCTTTTGATTCCGAGGTCGAACCCGAGCCCGGTTGCCCCGCGCGGCTCGGAGGGCGAAGCTGGTGACCCAGGTCGAGATGTGTTCGAGGAATGGTGTCGGGATGATTTCGCGTCGTCGTGGTTATTCTGACTTCGGGTGTCGAGTTGGGTCTATCCCTCCTTTCAGTCCGCGGGGCCCTCCTTTTCAGCCCCGCGGAGCGCAGACAAAAATAGCCATGAGGGGGTAGCCTGCTTCAAGTTCGGGGTGATGCGTTTTAGCTATGGTCGAAGGTCAGGCCTCCTCGACTGTTCGACCAGCGTGCTGCTTTGGCCGTACCGTGGGACGTGCTCGTATCCCTCCCACTCGGGCCCATGGTGTGTCAGCAGCGGGCCGGGCTCCAGCACGCCGCCTTGAGCAATGTAGTCCGGATTGCGCACACATGGAAAAATTGTCTTGGCGAAAAGGGGTCTTGAGGGATCTCGCCCTTTCGAAGGCCCTCCCTGGGCCCCGGCGGACTGTCTTCGTTTTTAGACGAAGCCGAGAACGCACAGCGTTGTGCAGGTAGACCCACATGACTATCTTTCCTTCTGCATCCTCCATTTACCTCCTCAGAATCGACCCCCAGACACCCGACCAGGATCTCGAGGCGAGTCAGGCCGTGGCGACGACGAGGATCTCTCCAGCGACCCGAGCGAGAGGGAGGAACGCAGAAACGCCGAAAACCTCTTTGTCCTCCTCCTCCTCCTCCTGCTCCTGCTCCTGCTCCTCCTCCTCCTCCTCCTCCTCCTCATCCTCCTCCTCTCCCCCCTCTCTCCATTTGTGACCGTCAAGTGGCCACCCCACCAACCCTGTCTGGGCCGAGCCTCAGTCCATGATCGGTGAGAAGGTCAGTTGACGTCCCCCGATCTGCGCCTTAATTATCGCCGCAAGTGGGCGCAGTCAGGGCACAGTCACAGTCAGGGCACATCTCAGCAAGTCGCGGCCGCCGCAAGCAGGGCCCAGTTAGCAACCGAAGCCCGAGAAGCAGCCAGGGATGGACTGACAGAGGCGGACCTCCAAGATCCCCCCCCCGAACTTTGAGGCTGCGCTCTGGCCAGAATCTCGAAGCGGACCCAACGGTGGCCACCGTGGCTCCCCAGAAGGCCCGAGAAATCCAGAGCCCCGATCCTCGATCCCCGATCCCCGTCGTCCCTGTTCCCTTCCCGATCCTCATCCAGGAACCTCGCTACTCGATCCCACTCCAGGATCCTCGATCCGCAGTCTTCGGCTTGTGCCGCGTTCCACGGTTGCCTGGTGATGTGCGTTTTTCCCTTGCCTTCATTGGATATTTCGGCCGTCGAACAGCAGCTTTGGCTTTGCTTGAGCCTTCTGTCCCCTGTTATCCGCGAGGAGATTCACCGAAGAATACAAGAAACCCTAACCCTGATAACACAGTGAAGACGTGGCCTCACTAAGGCCCTCGTCTTTGCATGAGGGAAAATACATCTGGGTGGTTTGGTATGACACATCTGCAGATACGACCCCCTATCCCTAATGTTTTTGGTCCTCCTAGCTTAGGCCCCCTCCCAAAAGGGTTAGGGGTCCTTTTCATGCTCATCACGAGTGCCCCCCCCCTCGCGTGGCCCGAGGAGGACGGCTACGAACCCGCCCTGGAAGACCACGACGCCGCCGCGGAGGGCGACGGAGTCCCTCCCGAGGAGGACGCCGGCAGCGAGCCCGCCGTGACCGTGCCGCACGCCCCGGGCGACCCGGATGCGGGCGCGCGGCTGGAGACGCCGCGTGCGCTTGCAGAACCGTTGTCTGTTTTCCGTCGGCGGCGAGGCAGAGTTGGCTGCACCAGCGATAGAGCTAAACGGGGGCACCGATAAGCTAATTGGCGAGCACGCGCGAGCGGGAAAAGGACAGAGTGGGCGGCCGCGGAGGGGAGGGAAGGAAAGGGCCACTCAGAGGCGGAAGAGTTCTCGCCTTGGTGTGCCGGCGTGGCCGGCCCCGTCAGCGAGATCCATGGCAGCTGCGGGACCGCGGCGCCGGGCCGGGGCCGGGGCACCCACGGGCGATGACGGGGCTCATTACGTGTAAAACAAGTACGTGCTGCAGTGACGCTGCCGATGAAGTATGCGAAGTATTTGGACAACAGAAAAAGGGCCGCAGGGCCGCCCAGTTGGGTGACACGTAACGACGTACGGCAAGTTCGCGAGCAGTCTAGGTTTGGATTGCAACCAGCAACATGCTGGGACCGTGGAGGGGAGCGGGCGGCAAGACCAAGCCCAGGTGCCCATCCACGTGGGGAGGCTGCAAGTTGCAACAGCCTCGCGAGCGCCATGGCGGCGCGCGGCGGGAGGGGGGAAAAGAGAATGGCGGGGGGAGGGGGGAAAAGGGGGAAGGGAACAGGGAGGAGGAGCGCCCCGCCTGCGGGGAGGCCCCAGCAGGCAGGGCGTCGGGGCCAGGCGGCCCAGCGCCAGCGCTGCAACTGCCCGGCGGGTGGCCCTGGCTGCAGCTGTGGACGCCGCGCACTGTCGGGGTGGACAGCACATGTCCGTTTTGTGGGGGCCTAATCAGTGCAGTTGCCTGTGTCAAAGCTGTGGCCGAAGGCTGTCAGGGGCCACGCGCTGTCGGGGTGGAGAGTGCGTGGCCGGTCTAGGGGCACTGGTGCTGTCTCCTGCGCTTGTGAGCACAGGGATGACGGCGCGTGGCGGAGGAAGCAGCGGAGGAAAGTGGTGTCGCGCCGGCTGGGGTCGCGGGTGCCACCGCCACGCTGAGCACACACCTGCGCCAGGCCGCCCCACGTTCGCCCCATATTTGTTGTATCCTCCTGACCCAGGCCACCAAGGCATCCTTCGAACTGAGGAGGTCGAGCAGGGCGCGTGTCAGGACATCCTGAGGACGCGCCCGCTCCTTGCTTGCTTCCTGTAATCCGAGACGAACGAGTCCCATGGGTTAGGGCGCGAGTGTCTAGCAACGCTGTCCAGGTGTTCTTCGCGAGTAGCATGAGTTCGCGCCGTGCAGGCAGAGGTGTCCTCCCCTCGCGGGCTGGCGCCAGAGCAGCCCGCGGTGCCCGAGCCGCCAGCGGCCGTAGACACTGGTGAGGAGCGAGGAGCCTCAGGGGCGGGCGGTGGGTTCACGCACGGGTGCTTGTCGGCGATGACCCAATCGCCCGTGTGCGCCACTGACATGGCGGGCTGCAAGGTCGGACGCCACGCACCGCCCCGACTGGCGGCCAGGGGGCGGGCATGGGCGCCGGAGGGGGCGGCGGGCCGGGCGTGACGGGGGGGCGTCGGGGAAGGGGTCGGGGAGGGAGCCACGAGAGACGTCGTCACGAGGGGCGTTGGTCGGGGCGACGACGGTAGCGTCGGGTGAGGAGTTGGGTCCAGGCGAGTTGGCGTCGGCGTCGCTGTCGTCAGAATGGTATGCCCTGCAGAGTCCGTCTGGCCGCTCGCGGTTGCAGTGCTGGTATTCTTCTGACTGCTCACCGTCGCGCCGCTGGAGTACGGCACGTTGCGCAACGTCGAGCGGTTAAGGTTCGGCGCGCTTGCAGAAACAAGCAACGGCATGAACGTAACTCAGGGGGCGTCCAAGGGGGAGGGGAGGACCGAGGTCAGACGAAGCCCGGACGAGGATAACATCGGGTGAAGAGGAATCGAGAATCTCCGAGATCTGGCGGCTCTGGAGGATGTCTCGGGCGCCGCGGTTTTCTCAGAGCGTTCCGGAACGCTCTGAGTGTGTTCCACGACGCTCTGAGGGTTCCGGGGCGTCCATCTAGGCCTCCCAGGTGGGGTTGACATAGATGGGGTCGGAGGATGGCGTCGCATCGCTTATGCATTGGCGATGCAGCACGATGTGGAGCCTGATTTTCTCCGAGCTGGCGTCGCCGATGCACGTCGGCGAATCGCCGATGCATCGGCGATGTATCGGCGATGCGGTGCGATCTCTATTCCGAGGGGGGGGACCAAGGGTCTGTTTGTGGATACCACGGCCTCTTCTCTTTCCAGTGCGTTCCCTGCCCCCCTTTGTCAGCGCACATGCCTCGAGCCACGGTGCGCCAGGGACCCTCTTCCTGCACCCTCCTCTTCGTCGAATCCGAATGATTTTTCGGAGGTGCGCTTGGCGTTTTTGGGTCGGCGCTGGACCTTTCCCTCGGGCGGCGCCTTCGGGCACCGAGACCCGGCGCGCTTCGCACCCCATGGAGAAGGGGTCCAGCACTGAATCAAGAAGTCAGCGGGCACCTCCGAAGGTTCAATGTTTTCCTAGGCGCGCGCACGGCGAGAGCTGAGTCTGGATTTGTCGGTCGTCGGTTCCCGCATGCTTTTCCATTTGATCTTCGGCGTTCGATGTTTTTGTGTTTCGGCGTTATTTAATCGCTTCGCTCATTCCGCCGGCCCATACAGTCTCATGTCTGCCGTTTGACCGAGGGCCTGGTGTCAATGCGGCGCTTTGGGGGTTCCTGGGGCCGCTTGGGGGACTCTTGGGGCGCTCGGGGGGGGCATTTGGGGGGCCTCCTGGGGCCGCTTGGGGGACTCTTGGGGGCCTCCTGAGGGCCTCATAGGGGCCTCGTAGGGGCCTCGTAGGGGCTTCTTAGGGCCGAGGGCTCGAAATGTTGTTTCGTGTTCCCTCTCTGGGGCCCCTTTGGGGGCGTTCTTGGGGCCCTCTTGGACCGTCTTGGAGGCTTCTTGGGCCGTCTTCGAGCCCTCTTGGGCCATCTTGGGGCCCTCTTGGGGGCCTCTTGGGCCCTCTTGGGGCGAGCTTGGGGGCCTCTTGGGCCGTCTTGGGGCGTCGGGAAGCCGAAAAGGTGGAAGCTCCAACATCTCTCAAAAACCTAAGGAAAAACATGAATTTTGCCTCCGGGGGCCCTCTTGGGAGTGCTCTTGGAGGCCTCTTGGGGCGTCTGGGGGCTATCTTGGGCGTCTTGGAGCGATCTTGTGGCATGTTGGACCCCTCGTGTACCATCTTTGGGGCCTCTTGGGGGCCTCTTGGCCTTTCTTGGGGCTCTCGGGGACGTCTCGGAGCCCTGTTGGTGCGCTCATGGAGCGCTCCTGGAGCGCTCTGGGGGAGTCGCCCGGGGGTCGGTCGGGGTACTTTTCTTCCGGTGACCCCCAGGGGCCGCCCCGCGCGCGCGAACTAGAGAATTGTTAACCAGTTACCGGAGATCTTAGCACGCCTCTGGCCCGTTGGGCCGGCGAATTCCTCGGTTTTTGACATTCGGACGTGACGTGGGCGCGCGGCTGGAGACGCCCTGGGTGCGAGCACGCGTGCACCGTGATGACCAGGTCTGGATTTCTTCTCGATTCACCATGTTCGTATGGTTTCCCTTTGTTTCCGGATGCTCGTCAATGTTGATATTTCGCAGATTGTGCAGCATTTGCCGGAGGCGAGTTGCGCAAGAGGAGTTTTGAGGTGGTCGCCGCAGGGTCATCGTAGAGCAGCTTGGCCGAGACTCACATGCACAAGCAAGTTCGTTGTTTTTTGTTGTCGGGTCGCCTGGGATCTCGTGACTGCCAAATGTCTTCCGCACGCGCTATGTGACTGCTTCGGTTCGTGGTATACTTCCAGGAGCGTGGCGCAACCAGCGCAACACGACCGTGAAGGAGACGCAAGTGGTGTCTCCATGACCGTGACATGTACCTACGTAGATTCTGAGCTGATGCCACCGCCCGTATGTGCTCGCCTTCGGGCGCGCGGGCTTGACGTTGACATGTTTGGGCCTCGGGACCGCCAGAAACCCCATCCAGGATGACCAAATCATCAGGATGTTTCTCGGGACTCGGGGTCCTCTCCTGCTACTCCTGCTATTTTGTTTTGTCTCTCTCTCCCTCTCTCGCTCATCCGCATCTGGATCCGGCTCCGCGTCGTCCGTTTCTTTTGTCTCTTCCTCGTCATTTCCCCACCCCCTCTCCTCCTTTCTTCCTTCCCCTCCTCCTTCTCGTCTTATCTACCGCCAACTTTGCCTCGTCATCGTTGTCCTCTCTCTCTCTCTCTCTCCTCCATCCTTCATCCCTTGCTCCTGCTTCTCCCCTCTCCCCCCCGCCCCCTATTCCCCCCCTCCTCCAAGCCTCCTGGTCCCTACCTCCTCTACAGCGCGGGGCCGGGTGAATGCCAGAGGAGATCCAGTGCGACCGGATCGAGCTGCTCGACGGCCCTGGGGACGTCCGCGCCATTTGCCTCGCAGCGGAGGCACTCGTCGTCGTCATCGAGGCTCGAGGGATCGAGGTTTGTCCCCCTCCTCCACAGGTGTTCCCGCCCTCCTGGGTCTCCACGGGCGCCCGCGTCGCCTTCGGCTGGATGCGCTACGAAGTCTTGGTCAGAACTCGCGTCAGAAGAGGCCCAAAGGTCGTCGTCGTCGTCGGTGGTCTTCTCCCCCGTATCAGCTCCCTGTCATCCAGCTGATCCTCGCTCCTCGTCCGCCTCATCCTCCTTGTCCTCTTCATCCTCTTACGCCTCCTCCCCCTTCTTCCCGTCCCTCGACCACCTCTGCCTCCCTTTGCCTGCTCGTCCCGCTTCCTGCCCTTTCGCCTCCTCGCCCCTCCGCCATCTCCTCCCACCCCCTCTCCACGGCTGCCCCGCTTCAGGAAGTCAGAGAGCGGACTGGATATGGTTTCCTCTTGGTGTTGCTCTTGCTCCTGCTCCCCCGCCTCAGGCGCCTCCTTCCCTGCCTCCACCTCGCCTCCTCCTTTCCGGATCCCCCCAAGATTGGAACCCCTGGACGAGCAAGCTCGATATTCGTATCCTCCTTTGTCTCTGTCTCCCCATTTCTTCCACCTTACCTCCATTCCCGATGGTTCCCTTCGTCAAGTTGTTTATGCAATTATCGTTGGGGAGAGCACAAGCTTTTTGTTAGCGATTGGGAGTGCTATTTGCCCGTGTTCTTATACCCCTCGCATGCTGCTCGCAAGGTAGCTTGCGAGTCAGGTTGAAGCAGATCACGTGACGCATTTGCTTACGTGCAGATGGTTACGTGTTGTCCGCGAGTTCCATATCACGCGCTGGACGTTGCTTATTGAACATGTGGTGAAGTGTTGCGTGTGAGCACTTGCACTATATGCAGGTCGGTGCGCGCAGTAAACCATGCTACGATACTTCCGTGAACAGCGCACTGCATTGCACGCGTGGCAACTAGATGGTGGTTCTTTGGAAACTAGCGCTTTAAGAGCAGACTGAGCCGCACACTCTAGAAACGAACGTGTGCGTTCGTGATTGCAGAGGGGAGGTTGCTCATTCGATGTCGTCGTGATCTTTGATGGGAGAGCTCGGCATGGTGGTGCTGTAAATTCTGCGACTTCAATCCGTGACTCTTCGCGTATCCCCACCAGCCCATCCAGAAGCAATTGCCAGGGGAGTTGCTAGACTGAGGGCTGTGTAAGAGCATGCAGTGGAACGTGCCGCCGCGGAAGCGCATTAGGGGCGCAGAAACGGTGGGAACGCTTGCTGAATCATATAAGAGGTGTTCCCTTGCTGCCCCGTCTTCACGTGATTATCCTGGGGCGGCCCGTGGAGGTTCCTAGCACTCCCGCCTTAGAAGCAGAGAGGAGAACAAGAGGGGGATAACGAGGAGGAGACCGCTATGACGGATCTAGAGGAGCTTGATGCGCAGGTGGGGGAGGAGGAGGAGGGGGTGGAGGGAAAAAGGGACAAGGAGGAGGAGGAGGAGGAGAAGGAGGAAAAGGAGGAGGACGCGGCACGAGCTTTGAGCTATCGACGGAGGGGGACCTGAATTTCGTACCCCCTCTCTTTTTCGACAGCCAGCGTAAGAGTGGTCCCCCTCTGCAGGGTCATTGCAAGGTCTTTGCAGGGTCTTTGCAGGAGGCGTGGACCATGCAAACAAACACCTTGCAACGGCCCTGCTAGCTGGGAGTCTTGGAGTCCTCGTGTTGCGATCTTGGGCTCCATGGCTCAAGAAGGGAAGGGTCCTCAATTCAGGCCCCCGCCCCCGCCCTCCCCCCATCGGAGGCTTAGCAAGGGCGTCTTGGGGCCTTCTTGGGGCGCTCTTGGAGCGCTCCTGGGCGCTCTTGGGGCTCTTTTGACGCCCTCTTGGGCCCCTCTGGGGCTCTCTTTTGCCATCCTGCCATCTTGATGCCTCAAGAGCCCATCGGAAGCGAGGAAGCTAGAGGAAGCTAGAAGGCAACGGCACATTGAGTTTCTGTGTGTGTGTCTGTGTGTGTGTGTGAAGGATATTGGTTTTGTTTCTGCGGATCATTGGAGGTTTCGGAGGGTTCTTGGAGCCGTCTTGGAGTTGTCTTTGACCCTATTGGAGGTATGTCGAAGGCTATCCTGAGCCATCTTGAGCTATCTTGAGCCATCTCGGAGGCCAGCTTGGAAGCCATATTGAGGTTGCTAAGGCCCTCTTGGAGCCATATAAGACCATCTTGGGCGCTCCAACTACTCGCGGCCCCCCCTACCCCCCCATCCCAGGCCCAGGGGAGGGGGTAGGGGGAGGGGTCAAGACGCCGTCCCCGCCTGCAAGCCGTCTCGCTCACTCCCACCCGCCCTCCCAACACATACGTAGCACCCGAGCCTGGCCCGAGCCGCAGCATATGCAGCAGTCGTCTGTGGATGGGCAGCTACTGGGGGCCAACCCGCCGCCGCCGCCGCCGCCGCCGCCCGCTGCCGCCGCTGCCGCCGCCACCGCGCCGCCCGCCGCCGCCGCCGCCGCTGCCAAATCGCCGCCGCCGCAGCCGCTGCCGCCGCAGTCGCTGCCGCCACCGCGGCCGCCCGCCGCCGCCTACCGCCGCCGCCGCCGCCGCCGCCGCCGCCCCCGCCCCCGCCGCCGCCGCCGCCCCCGCCGCCGCCACCGCCGCAGCCGCCGCAGCCGCTGTCCCCGCCGCAGCCGCCGCAGCCGCCGCCGCCGCCAAGTGTACTCTGTATTTTTTTGAGACAGGAACTGTGGGGGGAGGCCGCATCGGCTTCGCTGCGCATGCTCGGAATTTGGAGACAGAGAGTGTTTTGTATTGTTTGTTACAAAGGATTGGGGGCAGAGTGTGTTCTGTATTGTCTTTTACCAGGGGTGGTGGGGGGGGGGCCCGCATGGACGTGGATTGGCTCCCAGTCGCCTGGGGGATGGGGTGTATAGCGAACAGTGATCAAGCTACCCACCCGCCCGCGAGCCGTCTCGCTCACTCCCACCCGCCCTCGCAACACATACATAACACCCGGGCCTGAGCATGTTCAGCGGCCGTCTTTGGATGGGCAGCTACTGGGAACCAAAGCCGACCCCAGATGCGCGACGCTTGGGCGAGGTGCGCCACGCGTGCCAGGGGCGCCACGCGCGCCAGGCACCCCTGGGGCCCGAGCGTGCCAGGCACGCCTGGTGCGCCAGATGCGCCACGTGCTCCGAGCCGAGTGCGCCAGGTGTGCCGCACACACCAGCCGCGTCAGGTGCGCCACGTTCGGGGCACGTGCATAATGCGTCAGTTGCGCCTGCGCACGTGACAGCACACATCGGGAAACACGTCGGCCCCCGTTATCGCTGTCGAAACCAATGCCGATCAGTGTGCCTCAGAATGGTCCTCCCTGCTGCCCCAGCCACCGCGCCAGACTCACCAGACTCACCAGACACGCCGGCCACCGGACACACCGGACACAACGGACATACCGGATACAAAGGACACATTGGACACACCGGACACACCGGACACACCGGACACACCAGACACACGGGACATACCGGACCCACCGGACCCACCGGACCCAGCGGATTCGCCGGTCTCACCGGACTCGCAGGACCCACCGGACTCCCGGACTCACCGGAGTCCCGGATTACCCGACGATTTTGATGTACTGGTGATAGTGTTGGTATTGAGATAAGGATTTGTATGATGATGAGTACGATAATGACTTGGATGCTGCAGCTGGCGGCGTTCACGGTAATTATGTTCTGGTGCTTTGCTTTTGAACGTTATGCTGATCAGGGGGGTGGCGCTTATTATGGCAATGCGCCCGTCGTTAAAGAAGTAGGGAGGATGACAGCAAAATGAATGGTGCTGGTGAGGAGGAAGAGAGGGAAGCAGGTAGAGGATAACATATTGTAAGGGCCATCGTAATGATGAGGGAGATGATGGTCATAATGAATGACGACGATGGTAATGATGATGCTGTTTGTGCTCGTGGTGGTGATGCCTACGACAATGATGACGACGACGATGATTCTGATGAGGCTGAAGAGTGCGCTTATGATGTTGAGGATGCTTTGTACAATCGTGGTGATGATTCCGTCGACGGGGGACATGCTGATGGCGGTCATTGTAACGATTTTGGTTGTGATATGATGGTGGTGCTGATGTTGAGATGCCCGATGTGGATCATGATTATGACGATGAGTACAATGATGATATTGATGTTGCAGAAGGCGGCGTTAACGATAATGATGTTTCTGGTGCTTTGCTTTTGAACGTTGATGCTGACCAGGGTATGGCCCTCACTATGGCAATGCGTTCGTTGTTGAAAAGTGATGAGGAGGACGACAGCATGAATGGTGTTGGTGAGGAGGAAGGCAGGGACATAAGTAGGTGAGTAATGATGAGGCATCTGATCATCATAGCGACGACGATGGTAATGATGATGCTGATTGTATTCGTCGTGATGATGCCCACGACGATGATGATTACGACGACGACCGTGATGCTGATGATGAGTCTGAAGCGTGTGCTTATGATGATGAGGATGGTTTGTACGATCGCGGTGATGAGTCCGTCGACGGGGGATATGATGATGGCTGCCATTGTAACGACTTTGATTGTGACGATGGTGGTGCTGATATTGCGATATTGATTTGGGCGATGATGACAAGTGCGATGATGACTTGGATGCTGCACGTGGCGGCGATAAGGATATTTCTGGCCATTTGTTTGTGGGCGCTGATGCTGGATGGGGTGATGGCGCTTACTATGACAATGCGCATGTTGTTGGTGTGGATAGTGGTGACAAGGATGCTGTTGATGGTAAGATTTGCCTCCGCTCTGGACCTCGACCCCCAGAGATCCACGAAGGTCCCCGGAGGTCCCCGGAGGTCCTGTGTTCGTGGTGGTGATGCCGGTGATGCTGATGGCGACCAATGATGATGAGGCCGAAGTTTCTGGTCATGACGATGATGTGGATTTGGAGAATCGTGGCGATGATTCTGTCGACGGAGGTACTGCTGATGACGCGCATTGTTGCGATTGTGGTTGTGATGATGATGGTGCTGATAGTTGTGATAATAATTTCGATGATGCTGATGAGGAGTACGATGATGACTCGGATGCTGCAGATGGCGACGTTCACGATAATGATGTTTCAGGCAATTTGTTTGTGGACGCTGATGCTGGTTAGCGTGGTGGCGCTCACTATGACAATGCGCATGTTGTTGGCGTGGATAGTGGTGACAATGATGCTGTTGATTGTAAGTTTGGCTTCCGCGATGCGGGTGTTGATGTTGATGGGATGTTGACGCGTACGATGATGATACATGTGTTGTCGGTGTGGATACTGATGCCAGTGATGCTGCCCATGATGTGGTCGAAGATGCCGATGACAACGATGCTCATGATGTTCATGATCATCCCAGTGGGCTTTGTCCCACCCCGCCATAGTGCTTGGGTTGTGGGCCAGAGTCCTCGGGGATGCTTTTTTCTGGCCTCTTCAAATAATTCTCGGAGGCCTCCGGAGGGCAATTCTTGACGCTTCGTATTCCCACCAGCCCATCCAGGAACGATGCCCAGGAGGGCTGACGGGAGAAGGGGGGGAGAGACGCACATAGTGAAACAGCGCAGGCAAGAACGGTGAGTTGGGAGACCATTGGTAGCGAAGGGTGTTGGTGCTGCTGCTGGTGCTGTTGCCTCTGCTGTTACTGCTGCTGCTGGTGCTGCTGCTGCTGCTGATGTTCCTGGGTCCTGTGCTGCTGGTGCCGCTGGTGTTGCTGCTGGTGGTGGTGGTGGTGGTGGTGGTGTTGCTGGTGCTGCCGCTGCTGCTAGTGCTGTTGGTGGTGGTTGTGGTGCTGCTGCTGCTGGTGCTGACGGTGATGGTGGAAGCAGGCTGTGTAACAATCGCCTCGGACGCGTTTGCTCGGAGGTCTTTTGGAGCCATCTTGGGGGTCTCTTGGGGTTCTCTTGGGGGCCCTCTTGGGGCATTTTTTTCGGTGCTCTTTTTGGGTGTCTTGCGGCCCTCTTGGGTTGCTTTGTGGGGGTCTGGGGGGCCTCTTAGGGCCGTCTGGGCCCCCATTGGTTCAAAAAGAGGGATGTCCCCAATTCAGGTCCTCTCCCTCGGAGTCTTAAAAATTGCGTCTTGGGACTTTTTGGCCGCTCTTGGAGCGCTCTTGGGCGCTCTTGGGGCCGTCTTGGGGCCCTCTTCAGCCCCTCTTGGGGCTCCCTTGGGCTACCTTGGGCCCATCTTGAGGCCTCAAGAGCCCATCGGAAGCGAAAAAGCGAGAGGGCTCAAAAAACATATTGTAGTTGCAAACGTTGTCGGCTATTTGGTGCCAGACGATAGCAGACGATAGCAGACGAAAGCAGACGATAGAAGACGATAGCAGACGATAGAAGACGATAGCAGACGATTGCACCCAAGTGCCTTGTTGCCTCCTGTTTGTCCCTTGCGGTTCCTGCTGGCCCCGCACTGGGTTTCGCGCTATCGTCCGCTATCGTCTGCTGCAGACGATCGCCGACGACAGCCACCCCTGGCGGCCCCTATCAGATCCCATCGTCAGCTATCGTCTGCACCGTTTCTCCATCGTCTGCAGCGGGCCCTGGCAGCGCCTAGTTCGACCTATCGTCTGCTGCAGACGGCAACAGACGACAGCCACCCCTGGCGGCCCCTATCAGATCCTCTCGTTTGCTATCGTCTGCATTCGTCTGCACCGGTTCTTGGCGTCCCCCAGCTGGACCTATGGTCTGCTATCGTCTGCAATCGTCTGCAGCGGTTCCTGGCGGCCGCTAGCTGGTCCTATCGTCTGCTATCGTCTGCTGCAGACGATGGTAGACGATTGCTACTAGTGGCCCTAATGCGTCTATCGGCCCCTGCAGTCGATGCCCATCCAGCAACGATGCCCAGGCGAAGTATCTTGATCAGGGAGAGGATGGGGAGTGGAGCGAGGAGGGGGAAAGTGGATGAGGAGAAGAAGGACAACGAGGGGTAGGAGGAGATCGAACGGCATTGGGCAGCGGGAGGAGGATGAGGAGTACGAGAATGAGATGGGGGAGGAGAAGGTGAGTGTGAGTGTATATGGGTGTGCGCCTGAGTGTGAGTGTGTATGAGCTTCAGCTTATAGGAGTGCGAGTGGTCTTTTTGTGAATGGGTCTGTGTGCGTCGATGCCCATCCGGCAACGATGCCCAGGCGAATGATCTTGATCAGGGAGAGAGTGGGGAGGGGGGGCGAGGAGGGGGAAAGAGGATGAGGAGAAGGAGGAAAACGAGGGGGAGGAGGAGATCGAACGGAATTGGGTAGGGGGAGGAGGATGAGGAGTACGAAAATGAGAGGGCGGAGGAGAAGTGGAGTGTGAGTGTATATGAGTGCGCGCCTGAGTGTGACTGTGTATGAGCTTAAGCTTCTAGGAGTGTGAGTGGTCTGTGTGTGAACAGGTCTGTGTGCTATTGAGTTTGATTGTGCTTCAGTCTGGGTGTGAGTGAGTCTGAGTGCGGATGAGTCTGAGTATGAGATATGAGTGAGTGCGAGTGTGGGGGAGTCTGAGTGTGAGTGCAGGTCGGGCCTTGAATCTGGAGTTTGAGTGCGTCCCGGACCGAATTCCAGCGGTCCCATGGCCCGAAAACAGCTTCCATATGGCCTCACCCGACTCGCCGGACTCATGAGTGCACCGGACTCACCGGACTCCCCGGACCCACCGCATCCACCGGACTCGCCGCGACTCACCGGACTCCCCGGACCCGCCGGACTCACCGGACTCGCCGGACCCACCAGACCCACCGGATCCGCCAGCAGCGCCGGATTTGGCCGGGCCCACCGGACTGGAGCAGCAGGGTGCATGGTGCACCATCCTCGTGTGTCTGGTGGGCCTGCGCACAGCAGGCCCCGCGACACCACCCCCGCCGTCTTTGTCAAAACCATTTGACAGCGATCGCAAGATGGCCGCGCATGATTCAGATTCAGCCGCGAGGTGCATGTTGTACTGTTTGTTGTCTGGGACGGTAGCCTTGCGCGCAGCAGGGAGTATGCTGACACCCTCGCCGTCTTTGTCAAAAACAATACAGAGTGCTCGCCGGCCTCACGAACATGACTCAAGACTTTGCCCCAAAGTGTATATTGAATGGTTCTTTGAGAGGCATGCCGGGGTGCTTTGAATTGCATGGGATTGGCCGCACATGCTCCAAAATGTAGAGGCAGAGTGCGGCTTAACAGAGAGAAGACGAAGCTCGTTAAACCACTTACGCCAAGAGGGCTGGCGGGATTACAGAGGGTTTGCGCATTTGATGTCCTCATGCCATTTGATGATCCAGCTCGGTTTGGTGTTACTGTGAACACTTGGTCTTCAAAGTCGCGCGCGCACGTAAAAAACATCGATCACACCCGCAATGAACAACACTATATGTGCCCTGACGGCGCAGAGCGGGTGTGGCATGCAGAATTGAGTATGTTGTGTTCTGGCCCATGCGTAGTCTCGGCAACGCACAGCTGCCGTTGCTGAGTGACTTGGTAGGTTTGCAAGCAGCACCGCGATCTTCATACCAGTTCCTTCGGAACCTTTTTCATATGTGTTCCCTCCATATCTCCGCTCCCCATCTTCGATCATTGGTCGCAGCTGGCTGCTGAAGGTGCCGCCGGTCGAGTCGTTGCCTGGCAGCTTGGCCTTCTTGTCCAGCGCTCCTGGGGCGCTCTTCAAGATCAGTCGCATTGTTGGGTCGGAGAAGGCGGCAACGGTCTCTTGTTCTCTTCTGTCACATATTGTCCCGTGCTATTGCACGTTGCCCTAGTTGTTTGTTAGTGTTCCCGATATTTCTATATCGTCATTAAATATAAATCGGTGTATAGTTCTTGTTTGTCTCTCTTTGTGCCTCTGTCTCTCCCTAGCCCTTTCTATTCTGACATCCCAGGTATACAGGAGTGATATTATCTCCCTCTTTCTTTTTATCCGTAAGGGCTTCGCCCCCTGCCGCCGGCCCCCTCTCTCGGAGAATGGGCCATGGAAGAGCTAATTCATGAGGCCTTGGCGCTGTCGTGAAGCAGTATCGAAACTTCATGCGAAGCCGAGTCGCAATCAGCAAAACCAACTGATCACAAGAGGGGTTACCACACCTGGCGATTGGTAAGACGTGTATGGTTTAAGGGCTTGGTTACCACACCTTGCGATGAAAGGGCCGAGGGAGTTCTCGCAGTTTGGGTTACCACGCCTTGCGATGGATGTGCGTGATGGGTTCGAATTTCAGAAATGTGGCAAATCCCCTGTGTTTTTGGACCCTGACCCCGCGGATCTGCGTGAGGGGTGTCGATTTCGAGCCCACCCAGCAATTCAGACAACGCGCCCAGGGGAGGCTAAAAGTCTTGTTTGGGCCTCCCCCCCCCTCGCGCGGTCAATCAACTAGTTACAGTAACCAGCAAGAAGTCAACTAGTTACAGTAACCAGCAAGAAGCAGAACTGTAACACTGGAAACTACAAGCTACAACTGGTACAGGAAACTGCGAACCCGCGCCTACAGCCTGGTGGCCCCACAAGGGGGCCGGCGGATTTTCCCTTTCTCGCACTCTTTTTTTGTTTGTTCTCTCTCTCTCTCACTCTCTCTCTCTCTCTCTCTCTCTCTCTCTCTCTCCCTCCACACATTCACAAACATAGTTGGGATGTTGGGGGAAATGGGGGCATTACTGCATGAGTGTGAAATGAACTTCCGTGGTTTCACGGGCCTGGGACACATCTGTACCCCCTGCGCCCCGCGGCCTCCGCCAAGAGGGTCGGTTTCTTCTCCAGGAGGCGGCGCGGTGGCGCCACGCGTTCCCGCGCGCCGCAGTTCGCGCTGCCGGAGGCGCGAAATCGCACGCCCTCAGGAGTACTTCGTGCCGGCAGTCAAGACGCTGAACTGAGTTCCGCTTTGGGGACCAGGAGGGGCTGTGGCTTTCGGCCGTTCCTTGGATCTAGGTCGTGGACCTATTCCAGGCCATGGCTCGCCGTGTCCTGAAGAGCTCATTCGTTCCGTTACCGCGATGGTTGCGCGCGATTGCACGATTGTCTTTTTCATAACCTTTCTCCCTCCCCGCTTTCTCAGCCGTGGGCTCCAGAGTCCTACCCCTTTCCCCCCGTGCTGTTTTTTCTTACATAATATAGTGCTGCTGTGTCCTTGCTTTGAACTCGCAGCGCCGCGCGTCTCACTCTTCTCTCTCCTGGCTCCTTCTTCCTCCCTTTGCCTCCTCGCCTCCCTGTCACATTCCCTTTGCGGCGTACCTCTCGCGCTTCCAGCTCTCCCATAGAGAGCTGCACCAAGTTGCGGCCCCACTGGGCGCCGACGCAAGCGGGTCGGCGCGCCCATCTCGGCGCACCACTCACGCAGATCGGGGCTCAATAGGGAGCTCTGCCTACCGGATGAGAGGGCGCCGACGCATGCGGGGCGGCGACCATCTCGGCGCACGCCTCACGTAGATCGTGGCCCAAAAGGGAGTTCCGCCTACGTCCCCAGTTGGTGCTGACACATGCGGGGCGGCGACCATCTCGGCGCGCCCATCGTGCAGATTGTGGATCCAGAGGACGATCCATCGTCCGTCCCAGAGGGCGCCGACGCATGCGGGGCCGCTACCATCTCGACGAACCCCTCATGCAGATCGCAGCTCAACTCTCGGCTGCGCCTTCCCTCTCGCCCAAAGCCGCCCCAGTATTGCTCCTGCTGTGCTCATCGCCCTGATCCCGCCCCGTAAGCAGCCCCACCTTGGATCTCAATGGATTTCCTTACGGTATGTGCGCTGCGCCACACGCAGCTGACTAGGGTTGGGCCTTTCGCCCGGATAGTGTGCGTTCAGCCCAGAGCGTTGTTTCGGAGGTGGACAGACCTCCTACCCTGACACGTCGATTAGTGAATTGGCCGTTTTCGGTTCTCGAGAGGGCGCCGTGGCCGTTTTTTTCCAGGCTTGCGCCCGCCAGGTTTGGGCCTCAGGTCGTTTTCACTAAACTACGTTTTACTAAAGGGGGGTCTGTCCATCCCCGATTGTTTGATGGTCATGAGACCCGAAGACGGCCTCAGGGGGTCGTTTCTCCCTCCTCCGATGTCGTGTCTCGTTCACTGCGGGATTCGTGGGCCCCTCTCGAACCCTTCCCAGGACAGCTTTTCGTCCTGAGTATTCGCTTGATGGGCCCACAGCCCGAAACCGGCCCCCAGAGGCCAAAGATGATGGAAATCTTCTGTCTTGTGTTTTTCAAGACGGCGGAGGGCCTGGAGGGATTCCCAGGAAAGTTGGATGATGGAGGCTGCCGGGTTCCCCACTGAATGGGTGAGGACGCCACATGACCCCACCGTGCTGAACACCAGCCGGCGAGGAGAACAGGAGGAGGGAGTGAAGGATTCCCGGAAGCTGCCCTCCTTTTCCTCCATCTCTCACCCCTCCCTCATTTTTGCTCGTCCTCCCCTCCCTCCTTCGTTCTTCCTCCCACTTTCCCTCCCTCATCCCCCTTCTCCCTCCCCTTCTGAGCGTGGTGCGACGCTGCCCTGCTGCCGGAAGCGGAGGGCGCTCCCAGCACTGTACAGGGCGCCGCCGTTAAGTGCCTGCGCGCGGCGCGCTTGGCCTTTGGGACGTCTTCGGACGGGGCCAGGACGAGGATCAATCCGTTCCTGAGCGTTCTGGAACGCTCTCAGAGTGTTCCGGAACGCTCCGGGAAGGCCGCGGCGCCCGAGACATCCTCCAGAGCCGCCGGATCTCAGAGATTCTGGATTTGTCCTCCTTCATCCTCCCTCGATGTTATCTTCGTCCTGGTTTCGTCTTGCGTCTGCCCCAGGGCCCCGGAGGCCCAGGTCCCCCCTCCCCGCCCAGCAAGGCGGACGGGCGCCCGGCGAGGCGGCCGCCGCTCGGCCTCAGCTGGCTGGACCGCGGCGGGCTCGGGCGTCCCGAGGGCGCGCCGCCAGCGAGAGGGGGGAGGAGGAGAGGGGAGGAGGGGGGGAGGATGGAGGGGGAAGCCGGGGGGGGGAGAGGGAGGCGGGGGAAGAATGGGAGGGGGCGGGTGTGGGCAGGGACGGAGGGAGGGAAGCGGGTGTCCAGTGTTTCTAGAACTGCTCAACGCTTGTTGCTGATGGCGAAGACGGTGATTATGTCATGGGGGTGAAATCGGTTGTCAAGCCCCATCTGTATTGTATTCGTTGAATTTGGGTTGGTCGATGTGTGGGTTGGTCGGTGTGTGGGTTGGTTGTTCGATCGGTTGGTCGGGCGGTTGGCCGGTTGAAGGATCGGTTGGTTGGGTTGTTGGTACTATGTTTAAGTGGTTGGGCGATTGTTTGCCTGGTTGGTTAGTTGGTCGGGCGGTCGGTTGCTTGCCGCATGACAGCAATACTCTACTCTTCTTGTCACGTGGCATCGCAAGCAGGCAGAAAGCATCCTATTCTACTCCACTCGTCATTTCATTTGGCAATCCAAGGAGCATAACCACATTGTATTCTAGATACTTTACGTAGCACCAGCAGCCCATCCAGAAACGATGCCCAGACGAATTGCCCTGATCAGGGATGTGGAGGAGAATGCAGTGGAATCAAGGGCTGGGCGAGACGCCGTACCCCAAGAGAGGGAGGATGGAGGAGGAGCAGGAGGAAGAGGAGGGAGAGTGGGAGTCGGGAGGGGGATGAGGGAGGAGGAAGGAGGAGGAACAGGCGGATGATGAGGAGGAGGACGACGAGTACGAGGAGGAGGAGGAGAAGGAGGAGGAGGAGGAGTGCGGGCAGAAAGGCCAGATGCCTCTTGGATTCCTCTCAGAGTTTCTTCTGGCTTCTTTCGACAGCTTCTTGGAGTCCTCTTGGGGCGTCTTGGGGCTCTCTTGGCAGTCCCGGCGGGGCCTCTTGAGGCGTCTTGGGTGTCTCTTGGGGGGGTTCTTGGAGCCTCGTGGGGGTCTCTTGGGAGCCTCTTGGGGGTCTCTTGGGAGCCTCTTGGGGGCACATCAGGGGCCTCGCGTGTGCCTCTCGGGGCCTCCTGGGCACCTCTTGGGACCCTCTTAGGGCATTCTTGGGAGCCTCGGGGGGGCTCCTTAATTAGCGTCCCCACCACTCAGGAGGCCAACATGTGGCCAGAACCCTTGTAGATTTTGGCCTTCTCGCCGAGGCCTCGATGGGCGTGGCCTCTTAGGGGTCTATTGGGCACATATTGGGGGCCTTTTGTGGCTACCTGGGCACCTCTTGGGCACTCTTGGGCCACCCTTGAGAGCCGCGGGGGCCATCTTGAGGCCATCTTGGAGGAGATCGATCAAATGAGGGGGACTCCTTAACTAGCGTCCCCCCCCAGGAGGCCAACATGTGGCTAGAACCTTAGCGCAATCGATGATTTCGTTTTTTTCGCCAAGGCCTCTATGGGCGTCTTGGGTGCCTCTGGGGGGCGTCTTGGGGGTCTCTTGTGGGCCTGTTGGGGGCAATTTGGGCCCACCTGGTCACCTCTTGGGGCCCTCTTGGGCCACCCGCGAGAACATCGGGGGCCATCTTGGGGCCAATTTGGAGGAGATTCATCAAAGGAGGGGGGCTCCTCAATTAGCGCACCCCCACCCAGGAGGCCAACATGTGGCCAAAACCTTAGTAGTTACACAATGATTTTGGCCTTCTGGATGAGGCCTTTTTTGGCGACTTGGGTGCGTATAGGGGGGCGTCTTGGGGGTCTCTTGGGGGCCTCTTGGGGACCTCTTGGGGCCCTTTGTGTGGCATCTTTAGAAGCCTCGACGCTCCAATCCCTCGCGAAAGGCCCCGTCCAGACCCAGGGCGAGGGGATCAAGACACCCTCCCTGCCCGCAAGCTGTTTCTCTCACTCCCACCCGCCCTCCCAACACAGAAGTAGTATCCGGACCTCAGCACGTTCAGCGGTCGTCTTTGGATGGGCAGATAATGAGAGCTAAAATCATATCCCATGTGCGCAACGCTGGGGCGAGGTGCGCCACGCGTGCCAGGCACGTCACGCGCGTCAGATGCGCCAGGCACCCCTGTGACCCAAGCGTGCCAGGCACGCCTGTTTCGCCAGATGCGCCACGTGATCCACGTGTGCCATGTGTGCCGCATGCTCCAGCCGCGCCAGGTGTGCCACGTTGGGGGCACGCGCACAGTGTGCCAGGTGCGATTGCGCACGTGGCAGGACACATCGGGAAACGTGTCGGCCCCCACCCTTATTCGAAAACGAGTACGCAATCGCTGCGGGGTTGCCATCATTGTGTCTGGTGGGCCTGCACACAGCAGGAAATATGGCAGCATCACAGCCGTCCCATTCAAAAACCAGTGCACAGTGATCGCGGGGTGCCTGCGCATGATCCAGATTTTCCCTCGAAGTGCATTTTGCATTGTTTTGTTAACGGATGCTAGGCCCTGCACAAAGCGGGCAATATGCGGGCACCCCCGCCGCCCCTATCAAAAACAATACCAAGTGCTCACGGCTCCCTCGATCAGAGAGACCGTGATCCACCGCCGCTTTATTGTGGAAAATTCCCCCCCTTCCTCCGGCACCCGGGGGTCCCACCCCCCCCTCTGTCCCTACTGTCCCCACCAGTGCCCCCCACCACTGTCGCACTGTCCCCACTGTCCCCACCACTGTTCCCACCACGGTTCCACTCTCCCCACTTCCTCCACGGCCCCAACCACTGCCCGACTATCCCCACTGTCCCCACTGTCCCACTGACTCCTCCGCTGTCCCACTGAGCTGTCCCACTGTTCCCACCACTGTCCCCACTGTCCCCACCACTGTCCCCACTGTACCTCTGTCCCATTGTCCCACCGCCGTCCTCGCCACCGCCTTCACCACTGTCCCCACCACCACTGTACCCTCCACTGTCCCACTGTTTCCACCACATTCCCACTGTCCCCACACCACTGTCCCCACCACCACCGTCCCCACCACTGTCCCACTGTCCCCACTGTTCCCACCATTGTCCTCACCACTGTCCCCACCAGTACCGTCCCCACCACTGTCCCACTGTCCCCACCACTGTACTGCTGTCCCCTCGCCACACTCGTCCCCACCACTGTCCGCACCCCCCCCCCGGTTTTCGCGGGGGGGGGTCTCAAACCGGTAGTGACCCCCCCCCCGGTTTTCGAGGGGGGGGCCGGGGGGGGTTCGAACCGGTAGTGACCCCCCCCTTTTCATGATGGACTGGGGGGGGAGGAGGGGTTCGAGCCGGCAGTGACCCCCCCTGTTTTTCCGGAGGGGGGGGGTTCGAACCGGTAGTGACCTCCCCCCCCCCGGTTTTCCGCCAGCAGCGGTAGAACACGCTTTTTTCCGATCATGACTCACAATTTTTCCCCAAAGAAGATTTCGCACTGTTTTTGATAGGGATGCTGTGGGGGTCGTCCTGATTGGTGCTGGTTGGGACGGACGCCTGGAGGAGGGGGCGTTTGTGAATAGGGAACAGTGATGAACCTTTCCCCGACGGGGAAGAGGGAAGATGGAATATGCATTTCGCTAAACAACTCTTAAGTCGGGCCTGTCCCTCTACAGGAGGAATATTGAAAAATTGTAGAAAATGCTCTGGGGACGATTTTTTGAAGTAATGTTTCGACTATTTGGGGGTATTTTGAGGGGGATGTTTAATTTGTCGCCCAAAATCCGCCTGTAGGGGGACACGCCCGACCTGAAGCAACTCACGCCCTGAAAGGGCTGGTGGGATGCCCCACGACTCGCCACGGGGTCACGCAGGGCGTCCAGCTCTAGCAGAGTCCTCGGACGCCTTGGCCTCGGGAGGCCCCGAGGCGATGCGCACCGCACCCAGCGGGCCCCGGCCGTGGCCGGCCGCCCTGCCGCCCCCCCCCCTTCCCGCCCCAGGACCTCGAGCCGGCGAGGGCCGGGGACGCGCGCCCGCGGAGCCTGCGGGGGCCGGCGACGCTGACCGTGCAGCTGGTGGCGTCGGCCCTGGAGGAGGCCGCCACCGCCGCCTCTCGAAAGCTGGGTGAAGGCTGCTAAAACAGTGGCTGCTAAAGCGGCCCTCCCGGAAGGAAAAAACAACTGCCCGGAATGAGGCGCGGCACGCGAAACAGTCAACGGGCTTCTTCCCTGAAGGACGAAGACAGTTTCCCGGAGGTCGATTTTAGCAGCCACGGATGTAGCAGCCTTTGCCCGGCTTCCGAGCCTCCAGCGGGCATCGCTGCGGCCGTCGGCGCGGCCGCCGGCGGGGACGACAGCGAAGACGACGAACCCGTCGGCGGGATGCACAGGGAGGACGAGGGCGACGGCGAGTCGACATAGGAAAGGAATCACCGAACAAAGAAAAACGTCGAGGGGCCGCGCGGGTTTGGTTTCTTGGGTCGACGCTGGACGCCCCTGGCGGTGCATCTGGCGCCGCTCGTACCGCGCGCCGCGTGCAGGGGAGGCGGGGGGCAGCGCCGACTCGAGAGATCAAAGTCCGCACGGAAATCCCAAAGATTGCGTTTATGTTGCTTCATTCGTCTCTGCTGGAATTTTGATGTTTGTGGCCGTTCTTGGCCCCCAGGGCGACCCTCATCTCCGCGGCTGGGGCCGCCCCGAGAGCATGGTCAGAATGTGCCCAGAAAGAGCGTCGGGGACGACTGGTGAGCGTCGTCGTCATCGTCCTCGTCGTCGTCGTCGTCGTCGTCGTCCATCTCGTCATCCTGCGTTGGAGGTGGAGCAGGAGTGGAAGGGCTGAACTAAGTTTAAAACATCCTAGAGGGCTCTCGGGAGTCCTGATTACGTCGGGCTCTGAACGGTTCAGGGAGGCAGAAGGAAGTGACGGGGAGGTGGGGGAAGGGGAACGGGAGAAGGGAGGGTCAAGGAAACGCCACCACGATTAAGACAAGTGGGTCAGCGACAGATGCCAGGGGCATTCACACAACCTAAACAATGGTTTGGGCATGCATCAACCATTCGAGTGGTCGATCGAGTGGCCTTCGGACCATCCCGCCACTGCGTGCTTGTATATTTGGGATACCTCCCGGGGGCCTATGGAAGGGCTTCTTACGGGCCTCTTCGGGCCTCTAGAAGGTATCTTGGAGGCTTCTTGGAGGTCTGTAGGGGGCCTCTTGGAGGCGTCTTGGGGGCCTCCAGGGCGATCATGAGGCCATTTTGGGTGGAAGGGTTCGAAAGGCCCCTCCACTTTCCCCCTGTCGGGGTCGCTGGGGCCCCTTTTTGGGGCTCTTGGACCGTCTTGGGGCCCTCTCGAGCTGGTATGGGCGATATTGGATGTCTCTTGGGCCGTTGTGGGGTGGTTTTGGGATCCTCTTACGCCGCGTTAGGTTCGGCCAGCAGGGGTTGCGTTCGGATTTTAACGCCCAGGTCGGGCCAGCATTTGATACAGACAACATGCGGGTGTGCCGCAAGCATGCGCATGGCCCCGGCGATTCACGAGGGCATCGGCAAGTTTCGCGCAAAATGGACCGAACAGAAATATTGTGTGCCATTGGGCATGCACGGTTCTGACTGGCCCCAAAAAAATCGGTTCGTGGATGACATTATGTGGGTCGCCATTTTTCCCTGCAGGGTAAACAGTACGATTCAGGATGTCATGGACGTTGCGCACCCAATTCGCTTCGAAATACACCCCGAGAAGGCCAAGGTCTTACATCACATACAAGGGCGGCGGCCGCACAGCCACCCAGAACGCGCAGTCGTCAATGGAAGTTGCATCGCAATAGTAGCTTATTCTGCTACGCGACTATTTGGACGACGGATGACGCTTCGTGATCCGACCACGACGGACATCGGGTTCAGATTTTGCGCAGCAAGGAAACAAGTTTGGCATCTTCAAGTAATAGCCTATTGCACGTTCGTACACATCGAAAGAGCGCCTACGGCTCTGCATCGGCGTTGTGACTCCTACGCTTCTCTATGGTGTTGGTTCTTGGACATACGGCGTCCCCGCTGGAGTCATTGGTGCGGACTACACAACGCCGCATGCTCAGAATGATTCTGCGACCGCAGAGGCCGCGTTCAAGACAACAGCGCTCAAGCGCACGATGACGGCCATCCCAGCGGCACAAACGACACGCCGGACTCGGGAAGCAGCGCCACCGACACCAGCGACTCCAACACCACAGCGGCATCGAGGTTCAGCTCTCGAGACAATGTAGAACCATGGTAGCACTGGAGGAGGACGGAAAGTACGAGTGGACGAAGATGGACGGAGAACAATTGGGAGGGCGGATATGAGAGGAGGAGGAGGAGGAGGAGGAGGAGGAGGAGGAGGAGGAGGAGGAGGAGGAGGAGGAGGAGGAGGATAATAATCACCAGCGTCGGCATCTACGAGCGGTCTCGTCTTTCTTCCCTGCCTTCCCACACCCAGCTGGAGGCGTCATCACCTTCTTCCCCGACTTCTGCTCCCTCGAGAACCCCGGCGGGTCACTTTTGAGTCCCCCATCGTAGCTCGGGTCCTGAAGCTCTCGATCAAGTTCTCCGAAGGCTTCCTGATGGTCTATTAACATACGCAATATTGGATCTCCAGAGGCGCGAGGTCTATTCGTTTAGGGGATTTTGGAAGACGTCCGGCTGTCCAATCAAGACCCCATGGGCCACGCAGTTTTCGTCCAGGACGGTTTCAACTTCGCAGGTTCCCCTCCTATTCCCGAGCAATTTTTCTCCTTGGGCTTTTCGGATCAAACATTCCGTGAGCGCATCCAGCCTATCCAAGAATGGCGCCGAACGGCAGGGACATATTGGACATCCGTAATTCGCAAGTTCGTCGAGTTTGAAGTGCCCGAGCCGGCGCGCAACTGCCGGGCCGATAAGTCATTGTCGGGCATCGCCAGGGTGTTTACGTTTCCTTTGGTCCCTCGCGCACATGTCGCGCGGCGCCCGCGCGGTGGGATGCCCCGAGGTCAATCGCCGCATGAAGATCTCAGATTTTTCCGCGATCGCAGGCACGATCAAGCCGCGAGCCCTCAAGAAGCCGCACGAGCGCCCGATGCATCCCGAGTTTTACCATGGATCTGAATTCCGTGATTTCACCAAGTCTGTTTTTGAAAACGTGGGCGTCTCCCACTCGAGTGCGCCGCTGCAGCTAGAGTTCCACGAGCTCGTGAAGAGGGAAGCCGCCCGCAACGCCCGTGACGCAATGGTCTTGAAATCCCCATCTTCGACGGTGGCACAGTGGATGATAGTGAAACCGATCAGTCGTGCTAGCTGGTCGCAGAACATCGGACTCGCCTCGCGATTCGTTCTCGCTCATGAACTCGGACGACGCTTCCTCGACATCAACCCCGTCGACGAGTGTCAAGCTTGTGGGGCCAGAAGAGTATTCGGCGTTGACCAACGAGCTCGACGCGGCCGTGGATGCGTCAGTTTGCGCACAGGCCCGAGTTGAAATTGTCTGAAATCTCAGCCCGCCAGCAGCGCACCAAGCTCCGAAGGAGAGTTTGAGGGCTAGAGCGCCGGGGAAAGCTCTGGATTAAGATCGACCACGAACTGTGCCTCCAGGGGGTCACGGTTCAACATAAATTATCACCGACCCGGAGGGGGTGTTTGCAGACTTTGGACGCGCGTGGGCCCCTGCTTTTCGCGCCTCTGAAGTAGACAGTGTTGCTGCAGACACATGCCTGGAAAGGTTTGTTCCCGCTGGTACTCTGGCATGACTGGCCCCCAGATGCTTAGGGCTCGAGATGCGAAGAGGACTCGAACATGCTCCTCGGAACGATCGGGCCCTGATACTCTGTCTTATCAAGCTTGGCGGTGGAATCTTTTAGGCTGCGAGACCCTGGAAGCTGTCCTCAGGCGGCGCTTCCAGGGGCGCCCCATGCTCCGCGGCTTCAACGATCTCATAGGTGCGTGGATTCCGAAGGAGGTGGAGGATCTAGGTGACGGAGCGATCAATCGCGAGGCCCCGCAGACTAGGCCACCAGGTCGCAGCAATAGTGGTGCGAAAGTGCCCGCAGTTGCGCGTTTCCAGGCTGTCCAAGAAGCCCCCAGAGTTTGTTGGCAGAGCCCAGTGCGGCTTCGTTCCCTGGCGGAATTCGGGATGGATGCTTTAGAGCTCGACGCGGCCTCTCGGGCCACGGGCTTTCGCGAGATTTCGATGATCAGAAAACCTTTGCTGGTGGGGTTTGGCTTTGGACTGGCGGCCCCCTCGGCGTCGCAGGAGTGGAGCTTCCGTGCCCTTGGGTGCCCCTCTATTCTTCCCCCGTTGCTCATCTTCCTCCGCCTCATCTACGACTGCGCCTCATGCGCTGGCCACCTGTCGCGCGTTCAGAAATGTCTGCCCCTGGTTTCTTCTTGGTCATCCTGGAGCGCCCGGCCTCCAGGGCCCTCTGCGCCATCTCGTCGCGCGCGTCCCCCTGCCACTTTCGAGCCGCGGTCGAAGACCGCGCCGGGGGAATAGTCCGAGCGCGCGCCGACGACCCAGGCGCGTGAATTTACCAGATCACGCTCCTGAGATTGCTTGCTGTCGTTCTTCGAGCTGCCGCTCGCATCGCAGGCCTGGTCCTGAATATCAAAAGGTGTTGCGATGTTCCGCTGCACGCTCAGCGCGCGCCTGTCGTCGCAGAAGAAATTCGAAGCTGGCTCCGCCGAGAGATGCCAGAGTGGGCCGACATGTCGATCAGCCCGCGTCTCAAGCACCTCGGCGTGATCATGGGTCCGCAATCGCCCCGCCGCTCGCGGCATGCGCCGGGGGACCAGTGCACTGCTGCTGCTGTCAACTCGCTGCGAGCTGTCTCCGCTCACGCAGACAATAAGCAAGTGGTGAGCGTGCTCTCGTACATTTCGCCGCACTTTCTTCTGCCTGGTTTCTTCCCGCGCGTAGAACGCGCTCGCGTGGCCACGGTCGCATCCGTCCCGCGCTGTCGTCTCACTCGTGCCGACTGCTTCAATCTCGAGAGTTGGAGGGGGGGCCTTCAGCTGACGAGTGCTGCGGTTGCAAATTTGGGCACCTTCATGCGCCGCGCTCTGAGGACCTTCGCGGAGTGGCCAAAGTTGCATGACGAATTGCGAGCCCTAATTTTTATGAGACGCGCGTTAATTACGGTGGTCGCGGGGCAGCTCTGTCCTGATTTGGGGGCCCCCCTGTGGTCATATTGTGAAGGGGGGCGAGTCTTGGCTTCCCTTCGTGCCCAGCGTGGAAAGAAGCGGGGCAGCGCGCTCTAGAAGTAGTAGCTCCTCTTCCCTGCCTCACTTCAATCAACGTTCGCGGCCCGCCTTCGGAAGTGGTTCCCTGACGCGAATCTTGCCCTCCCGCGTTAGAGGGCTTGAGGTCCAAGCCGAAGTCAAGAAGATGCCCAGTCCGTGGGCAGCGGCTTTCATCAACGCGCTCGCGGGAGCATGGGTCGCAGCGTCCAACTCTCAAGAGAGCGAGTGTCGCTGCACTCTGGGGTGCGATGCTCCAGACAAGATCAGTCACTACGTGTATTGTCCTCGTTTCCACCCCTCTCGTCTCCGATGCGGTTTCGTGTGACCTCCCCTCGCGTGTGGTCTCCCGTCTCGGCCACCTCGACCCGTCCAGCCTGCTGCTGCAAGTGCCCGTCGCATCGCTCGCGCTGTACAATGATTTCAGAGCCCTGCCGTGTGCCAGGGAGTCGCTGTCTCAGGCAACAGCCTTGGCGCTCCTGCCGCAGACGGGAGCGGCTCATCGCCGCGTGGCCTCGAGGACGCGACGTGGACTGCCGCCCCCCCACTGCCACGTGCCAGGAACATGAAAAGGATACGGAGGAGGAGGAGGGGGAGGGGGAGGAGGAGGAGGGCGGGGGGAAAAGGCAATCAGGAGGCCAATCGCTAGAGGGGCCATTCGGCCCTCCCGTCCCAGGCTGCGCGCCCGTTGGGGCCGCTCTTCGTGCCAGCGCCCCAATGGGGAGGAGAGTCTTGCACAGCTCGTTTCGCATACTGTGGCGCCGCGAGTCTGAGTTCGCAAAGGCAACGCCGGCGTGACCGATTCGACGCGCATCGTTGAACCCGACGGGATCGATGAACAGGCGCAGTGGAGTGGGTCGCGGCTTGGCTCACAGCGAGGACGCGTGTTCGCACGCGTAGTTTTCCCCCACTGTTCCAGGGCAGCATTGTTGCCCGTCGGGGCTCGCTGAAAATTCATGAGCATCCCCTGGCTTCAACGTGGAGGGAAGCATGGGCTCACGATGCTGGGCACCCTAGCCTGACCAACCATGATGAGATGATGGGATTGCACGAGGACGAGGAGAAGGAGGAGCGAGGGTGAACGCAGAAAGGCAAAGGAGGAAAACCATAATGGGGATGGCTTGGAGTAGGAGAAGGAGGGAGGAGCAGGAGGGGGAATAGGTGGAGGTGGAGGAGGAGGACGACAAAGAGGAGGAGGAGGAGGAGGAGGACCAGGAGGAGGAGTAGGTGGAGGAGAGGAGATGTTGAGAGACGGGAAAGGGAGCAGCGAGGGGATGGAGAAGGAGAAACAGGGGGAGACAAATGACATTGAGGAAGCGGAAAAAGAGCAGGAGGGAGGCAGGGGGGCAGGAGGGGAGGAATAGAAACAGGGGTGTTAGGGGAGGGGGGAGGTAGAGAGGATGAGGATGGGAACGAGAAGAGGGACAAGAACGGAAAAGGAGAGGCAGCGACCGCGGCTGTGGCAGGCGGTGTTCGCCGCCCTCCACTCCTTGGCGGTGGATGCTGCCGGGAGCAAGGACGAGCTCAGAAACGCGGCGTGCCCGCTTGTCTCCCAGAGGAGGTTCGGAGCGGGAGAGGAAGGCAGGTGGAGTGAGGAGGAGGAGGGGGAGGAGGGGGGATGGGGAGGAGGATAATGGAGAGGAGGTGAAATCGTTTGCCATGTGGGAACCTTTTCTCTGCGGGCAGGTCCAGACGATATGAGGTGATCCATCGTGTCCGCAGGGGGTCACTGCGCTGTGAACATGTTTCGGCATATGAGCCCCCCCGCACTGGCTCAAGTATATTGCCCGCTTCTTGACTCCGACTCCTAGCTGCCGCCATCCTCGCCAGCTCCCCCAGGCATCCGTGCTTCAGTCTTGATTGCAAAGCCAGACTCTAAGCTATACTATTGTTGCTCGGCCTCGGTGGAATTCGCTTCGAACAGTTAGGTTATGCAGGCGATTCCATCGATCGGAAATCAAGGGAAACTTTGAAGTAGCCATGAGTCCGTCGTGACACCGGCCGCATCATTCTGAAGGCTGATCTTACGTACAGCAAAGTCGCACCTTCGTCCGGCGTTTCGTTCCTCCTTGCGCGCCCGTGGAGTTTATGATGTCTTTTCATCTCACGTCGTCGCTGTCGTCCTCCACCTCTTCCTCATTTTCCATCCTCCCCGTCTCTCCCTCACTTTCGGCGTAGTCTCCAGAACTTCCTCTCCCCGAGCTTATTCCCCCATGCCTAGTTTGCCTGCTGGGCCTGCGTTTGTCTCGCCATTTTGACTCGGACTTCGGGGCCCCCACGGAGTTCTGCTTCCGCTCCTGTCCCTCCCTCCGCCGTTTCCCTGCTCCCTTCCTCCTCCCCTCTTCCCATTCCCCTTCCCCTTTTCTCCCTCCCGTACCTCCCCTAAGTGCCTCCTCTCTGCCTCCCTGCGGGCACCCGGGTCCGTTCCTCTGGCGGTGGGTGGCAAATTGTTGACGCTTCGCGAATCCCCACCAGCCCATCCAGAAACGATGCCCAGAGGAATTGCCTCGATCAGGGAAGCGGGCAGCACACAGGAAGGGTCCCCCAGTGGAGGCTTCCTGGAGCGTCTTGGGTGCCTCCTGGCGGTCCGGGACGCCTCTTAGAGCGTCTTGGGTGCCTCAGAGAGTTTCTCGGGGCCTCTTGGGGGTCTCTTGGGGGCCTCTTGGAGGCCTCTTGGCCGCCTGTGGGGGCCTCCTGGACGTCTCTTGGGGCCCTCTTGAAGCGCTCTTGGGAGCCTTGGGAGCGCTTTTGGAGCCCTCTTGGGCCATCTTGGAACCAGCCATCTTGATCGGCGAGAAAGCCAAATAATAGATTTTCCAAGGTTTTGAACGCATTTTGGCCTCTTCGGGGCCTCCTCTCCTGGGGGAGCTCTTTGGCCACTTGGAGCCGTCTTGGAGCGCATCTTGAGGCATCATGGGATATCTGGAGCCATCTTGGAGATCATCTTTGGCTCCCCCAGGCGCTCTTGGAGTCTTCTGAAGCAGTGCCCCCCCCCCAGGAGGCCAAAATGTGGCCAAAACCTTGGTCAAGTCAGCGATTTTGGCATTGTCGCCGAGGCCTCTGGGAGCGTCTTGGGTGCCTCTGGAGGGCCTCTTGGGGCCTCTTGGAGGTCTCTTGGAGGTCTCTGTCTCTTGGGAGCCTCTTGGGGCTATCCTGGGGGCCTCCTGGGGGCCTCTTGGGGCTTCCTGGCCACCTCTTGGGACCCTCTTGGGGCACCCTTGGGAGCCTTGGGGACCATCTGTGGGCCATCTTGGGTGAGATCGATCACAGGAGGAGGGGGGGGGGTTAGATTAACGTCCCCTCCCCAAGACGCCCAAATGGGGCCAAAACCTTAATACAGTCAATGATTTTGGCTTCCTCGCCGAGGCCGTTTTGGACGCCCTGACACATCGCGACTCCCCCCCCCCCTCCAGGTTCAGGGGAGGGGGTACGGGGAGGGGTCAAGTTACCCCCTCCCCGCCCGCAAGCCGTCTCGCTCACTCGCACCCGCCCTCCCAACACATACGTAGCACCCGAGTCTGGCCCGAGCCTGAGCATATTCAGCAGTCGTCTTGGGATGGGCAGCTACTGGGGGCCAATCCGCCGCCGCCGCCGCCTCCGCCTCCGCCGCCGCCGCCGCCGCCGCCGCCCGCCGCCGCCGCCGCGCCGCCGCCGCCGCCGCCGCCCTGTCGCCGCCGCCGCCTGTCGCCGCCGCCGCCGTCGCCGCCGCCGCCGCCGCCGCCTCAGCCGTCGCCGCCGCCGCCGCCACCGCCGCCGCCGCCGCCGCAGCCGCCGCAGCCGCCGCCACCGCCGCCGCAGCCGCCGCAGCCGCCATCGCCGCCAAGTGTACTCTGTATTGTGGTTTGGCAGGGATGGTGGGGGGGGCGCATCGGGTTGGCTGCGCATGTTCCGAATTTGGAGGCAGAGTGTGCTTGGTATTGTTACCTAACAGCGAAGACTGATAGGTTTCTAGTGGTCTCAAAAGAGAGCAGCAGATGACTCCACAGGGGGGTCTGGGCGGGTGCCGGACAGGGTGCCGCAGAAGTCGTTTTAAGCCAACAGTCACACACTTCGTGCTCTTCGACCTCCCAGAACTCCATTCCCGGGCCACATTCTGAATGCCCGGAGCCAACTGTAGGCCACTTCGTGCTCTTCGACTTCCCAGAACTCCATTCCCGGGCCACATTTTGAATGCCCGGAGCCAACTGTAGGCCACTTCGTGGTCTTCGAGTCCCCAGAACTCCATTCCCGGGCCACATTTTGAATGCCCGGAGCCAACTGTAGGCCACTTCGTGCTCTTCGAGTTCCCAGAACTCCATTCCCGGGCCACATTTTGAATGCCCGGAGCCAACTGTAGGCCACTTCGTGCTCTTCGAGTTCCCAGAACTCCATTCCCGGGCCACATTTTGAATGCCCGTAGCCAACTGTAGGCAACTTCGTGCTCTTCGACTTCCCAGAACTCCCATTCCTGGGCCACATTTTCAGCAGGGGCAAGAGCACGACGAGGAGGAGGACGAGCAAGACCAGGAGGACGAGGACGAGCAGGAGCAGGACGAGGAGCAGGAGGAGCAGGAGAAGAAGGACGAGCAGGAGGAGGAGGAGGACGAGCAGGAGGAGGAGGACGACCAGGAGGAGGAGGACGACCAGGAAGAGGAGGAGGAGGAGGAGGAGGGGAGGAGGACTACCAGGAGGAGGAGGAGGAGGAGGAGGAGGAGGAGGAGGAGGAAGAGGAGGAGGAGGAGGAGGGAGGACGAGGAGGAGGAGGAGGAGGAGGAGGAGGAGGAGGAGGAGGAGAGTGTTGAGGAGGAGGAGGAGGAACACCAGGAGGAGGAGGAAGCAAGACGAGGACGACGCGACCAGAAGAGAGGGGAGGAGGAGGAGGAGGAGGAGGGGAGGGGACCTAAGGAGGAGAAGGAGGCCGAGGAGGAGGAAGGAGGAGGAGGAGGAGGAGGAGGAGGAGGAGGAGGAGGAGGAGGAGGAGGAGGAGGAGAGGAGGAGGAGGACGAGGAGGAGGAGGAGGAGGAGGAGGAGGAGGAGGAGAGAGCACCAGGAGGAGGAGGACGAGCAAGACGAGGAGGACGAGAACGAGGACGAGCAGGAGGAAGAGGAGGAGGAGGAGGAGGAGGAGGAGGAGGAGCAGGAGAAAGAGGAGGAGGAGGAGGAGGAGGAGCAGGAGAAAGAGGACGAGCAGGAGGAGCACGAGGACGAGCAGGTACTGTCGTTCCCACCAGTACGGACACGTCTTGGCTTTCCTATTTCGATTCGACAACTGGATTCTCATCTGAATCTCAAGGGGAATGCTCCCATATATGCTTCTACACATGCTGGAAGCATATCTGGAAACGAGACAAGCAAAAAATGTGGCCCGGGTATGGCGGGCCACGAAGAACACGAACGAGCCACCTCTGCGGATGGCGGCGGGGGGGGCGCCGCCGCCGCCGCCGTCGCCGCCGCCACCGCCGTCGTCGACGTCACCTTTTTTGTCGCTGCCTTTTCGTCGAGATGCTGTTCGACCCAGAGATGCTCCTACACATGGCTGTTAGGTTGCTTTGCCGGGATAATTTTTTACAAGGGATGGTGGGTGGGGGTGTCGGCATGGACCCTGGTTTGCCCCCAGTCGCCTGGGGGAGGGGGTGTTTACTCATAGGGAAAAGTGATCAAGACCCCCTCCCCGCCCGCAAGCCGTCTCGCTCACTCCCACCCGCCCTCCCAACACATACGTAGCACCCGAGTCTGGCCCGAGCCTGAGCATATTCAGCAGTCGTCTTTGGATGGGCAGCTACTGGGGGCCAATCCGCCGCCGCCGCCGCCGCCGCCGCCGCCGCCGCCCCCCGCTGCCAAACCGCCGCCGCAGCCGCTGCCGCCACCGCCACCGCCGCCGCCACCGCCGCCGCCGCCGCCCCCGCCGCCGCCGCCGCCGCAGCCGCAGCCGCCGCCACCGCCGCCGCAGCCGCCGCCGCCGCAGCCAAGTGTACTCGGTATTGTTTGTTTGACAGGGATGGTGGGGGGGGCATCAGGTTTGCTGCGCATGTTCAGAATTTGGAGGCCAAGTGTGTTTTGTATTGTTTTTTTTACAAGGGATGGTGGGGGGGGGTCGTCATGGACCCTGGTTGGCCGTCAGTCGCCTGGGGGAGGAAGTGTTTAATACTAGGGGACAGTGATAAACCCCTCCTCGAACGGGAAGAAAGAGGGGTGGAAAAAGAAACTTTCTAAACCACTCACGCCCAGAGGGCTGGTGGGATTCGTTTGGACCGAGGGGTCCCCGCACCCGCCGCGGGGGGCGCTGCCCGCGAAAGGGGCAGATGGCGGAGAGCCACAGCACGGCCGACGTGCTCGAGCGGCTCCAGGAACGTCTCCTGCCTTCCCCCCCCTGCGTTTCCTCATCTCCTCATGCCCTTTTTTCCGCCTCCTCCTCTCTCGCGCTCCTCCTCGCCCCTTTTTTCCATCTCCTCCTGCTGCTCCTGCTCCCTGTGCTCCCCCTTTTACGCCTCCCCTTGTCGTCGTTGCCCGCCCTCCTACTGCTCCTTGTCATCCTTCCTCTACACCTCCTTCGCCTCCTCATTTTCTTCCTCCCTCCTCCGCTGCATCCTCCTCCTCTTCCTCATCTTCTTCCATCTGCATGTGTCCCCCTCTCATCATCGGCATCATCCTCTTCCTCATCCTCCCTTTTCCGCCTCACTCCCAAGATGGATCCCAAATAGATGATATTAACCGGGGTTTAGAATGTTACCGGATTATTGACCCGAGTTCATAATGTCTCCCACGGAACATTACGAACCTGGGTGTCAATGTTCTGGGGATATTGATTGGGGTTCATAATGTTCCCCCCGGAACATTATAAACCTTGGTTATAGTGTTCCGGGGGTATCGACCCAAAATACACATCAACACGGGTTTACAATGTTCCGGGAATATTGATTGGGGTTTACAGTGTCCCGGGAATATTGAGCCCGGTTTTCGTAATTCCGAAATGATAGTAATTATCATGTTCCCATTAGCCCCCGGTTCCCCACCAGGTTTTTCATGTCGGAATATTTAGTTTCGGTTCATTATCTCCAGGAGATAATGAACCCGGATTCATAATGTTCCCGGAAATTTGACACCGGGTTAATGATTCTGGAATAATACTGATTGAGTTTGGGGGGCGCCGTTTGAGAGTACGTTCGGGACTGAAGTAAATTCCGGTCCATATTGTTGGAATATGAAATTTAGGTTGATTTTTCCGGAAAGATAATGATTCGGCCGGGGGGGGCTGAGCCCGGTCCATTCACAGGACAATAATCCATAGGGTATCATCTGAAGATAATGAACCTAGGTTTACCATTTCTGGATAATCAACCACGGTCGATGAGGATTTCGGAGGTGGCCTCCTCCGTCTCCGCTGCCATTCTGGATCAGGCCGGTTTGTCTCGACTCGCGGTGTTGGGACTTGCGCTCCGTCTCGAGGCGGTAGCGCGCTGAGGGCGGTAGGATCGCCTGGCCGGGCGGGAGCCTCCGCAGTCCTGCGGGGGGCAGCGTCGCGTGCGCGCAGGCAGCGCGTCGGGGTCGCTCTTGGCCCCTGGCGTTGCGGCACAGTCGCGGCAGGCGCCCGTGCGCGCCAGCGCGGTCCACGCTTTGCGAGAAAATCAGCAGCAGAAGAAGCGGCAGGCGAGGTTGTCGGGAGGGTGGCTCTGAGCCCCAGGTGCAGCCCGTGGTCGATTCCTTCTCTCACGGGGCTATGCGGCGATGTGCGGCCGTTGTTGCAGGCTGGGTCCAAGCCCTTCTTCACGTGGGCGAGGACGACAGGTGCGATAGCGGCGTGTGGGGGCGCGAGCGCGAGAGCGACGTCGACGCGCTGCCTGCGCGACATCGTCGACGGCGAGAGCGAGCTCGCGGTTGTGCAGGTACTGCTCGAGAGCAACGGCGGCATGGCCGTTGACGGCGGCGCCGTCCCGACGTGTTGGGAGATGTAGAGTTGGTTGGTGTCGTTGATAGCTTTGGGGCCAGTCCTGGAACGTGGCGGCCCTTGCCACGTGCAGATGTTTGATGCGGCTTGCATGCGGGCCGTGAGGTTGATGCGAGACAGTCTGTGGTCAGTCGCGGCGGACGGCAAGGTCGCATGCAAGGACACGGATGGGGCCAAGGAAGAGCGGGTTGCGGAGGAAAGCGACCCAGGCGGCTCGCGCGCAGGCGCAGCGGTAGACGCGAGATTGTGCGCGGCCGCAGACTTTGCGCAGTTGCGCACGTCCACATCGGTCGCGGACGCGGCTGCCTGCAAACGCGCAGGACGTGGTGACGCGCCGCCGCAGCCTTGCCCGCGGCGGCCCTGGCGCCCCTGGTGGCGCATCTAGCGGCGACCCCTGGCGACCAGCATGCGCGCGCGCAGCAGCATGCCACGAACGGCATCGTCGAGGGCACCTGCCGCGGCGCCGCGGGAGCAGCGTCGCCTGCATCGGCGTGGGCATTGAGCGCCGATTGCTCAGTCCAGCCTCGTCGGATCGGCGATGTTGGAAAAAGCTGCGGTGCTCGCGCGGCTCGATGACGGCATCGCACGCCCTGGCCTGGCCGCATTCCTTCAGGCTGATCCTGGGATTCGTTGCGGGTGCCGCTTGAGGCGGCGTGCCGAAGGCCACGCGGGCGGCAGCGCAGCTGGAGCACTTCGATCATCTGAGAGGCGGCTGCTTCCCACTCTAAAATCAGAGCTCTCTTTCTCCATCGCCTCCAACATGCGAGGACGACAATCAGGAGGAGGAGGAGGAAGAGGAGGAGGTGGAAGAGAGAGGGCACGATGGCCGAGTAGGGGAAGAAGGGGCTACGCTGGCAGAAGGAAGAGAAAGCTCATAACACCACATTCTCCCAGAGACCTGATAGGATTGAAGCGTTTCGGTTTTGCATTATGTTGGCAGGTTTCGTTTTATCAGCGAAGCTGGGCCAAAGAGGCGTCCACAAGGGTCCTCGGAGCTGAACTTGTTGACCAAGAAGGGGTCAAAGAGGTTCGAGACGGATGGAAGTTCTGTTCCGAAAGGGTGTTGGCAATCTCCTGGAACCCGAGTTCATCTTAGAGCCGCCTTGGGTGCGAAGCAGTGGTTTGACCGCAGCGAGCGGCGAAACGTCGGAGCATCCTTGTTGGGGGGGAGTGAGGGGGAAGGGGCTTCTGCCTTGAAAGGAACGAGGAAGCACAAACGTGTATGAAGGTGCGTTTAGCGACGGCCGCGGGCCCCGTTTTCATACGAGCATCGGCACGCGTTCGGGGGACAAGTTCCCCGATCCGTGGATCGTTCGCCCTCGCGCTAGGTCAACGGATCCGCAATCCATGTTAGCGTGTGCCTGAAAGGAGTTCTCGAAGTCATTTTCCATACGCCCCTCAGCTTGGTGGGTGGGCGCATTCCGGAGGCCAGCGCCAATCCGCCGACCCCCAAAAGAGTGGATTCGTGACGGCGTCGTGGGCCTCTCGGGCGCCTGGTGGAGGGGTAAGGTTGAGGAGGAGGAAGCCTCCAGGAGGAGGAGGAGGAGGAACAGGAGCAGGAGGATCATCAACACTTTGGTGGGGAGGTAGTCTGTTTTGCTGCCACCCAGGACCCTGACCTCCTGTCATCCCCGCATGTCCCCGAAGGCCTCTGTGCTCCGCCAAATGCTTCTGGAGGCCCGAAGAGCACCAACAACGCTAGAAGACTTTTTCCCTCGAGATTCGCGGGTAAAACTTGGCATGCGTAGGAGGAGCCTCGAAGAGCCAGCAGTGGTATTCCGTACTTCTGCTGCCACAGGAATTAAAAACGAGCGCGGACATTTTCCGATCAGTGGACTCCTGTGGTTGCGCAAGCGCTTCGATTAGGATATGGCCGCTTAATGCGCGTGTGCCTGAACAGTTGGGGCAATGTTGGGGTCATTTTGCCGCCTTCTTGGGCTCATCCTGGGGCCCTCTGCGGCCCGTCCTCGGGACCCGCTTCGGTAGTTCGTGGAATTCGGGGCCCTCTCGGAGCTCCGTTGGGACACTCTTTGGACAAATTGTGCCTTTGGGGCTTTTAAGTGGCCCTCTTGGGCCCTGATTTGGTTTTCGTAAGTCTTCGGATATCCATATGAAAAAAGCAAGGGCGAGAGTAATAATAAGTAGCATCTCTGGGGCATCCTCGGTGCAGTAGTGTCCAGGGACATCGAGGGGCCAGCTTCTGCTGCCAGCGCCATCGCGGAGACCAGCGTGAAGGCCTGCCTGGCTGGTGGTATTGGAGACCACTTTGGGGCCAGAGCCGAACAGAGGCGCTCCTAAGAGCAGAGGACAGTTTTTATACCCGCCCTCGCCGTAAAGCCATCGGAAGACAGCGATTGAGAAATGCACTGGGGGACCCGTCACACAGCAGCCCTCTGGGCGATGATTCACGAATTTCGTTCCAGGCCTCTCGCGGGCGTCATCGTCACCATTGAGATTATGTGAGTGTCCTCTCCGAAGGATGTCCCGGCGGCAAAGAATTATTTTTGAAGCGTTTCCCTCCCGTTTGGTCTCTTCACCGTCATCGCACCGACCGTCGGTGTTCCTTCTTGTCTCTCGACTGGCGGCAAGACTGGTCAGTAGGCTGGTAAGTATTTTGGGCTTCCCCTGCAGCGGAGGCCGACCCCTCGCTCGCCTCCGACCTGGAGGCGCATTCAGCACCACGGGCGGGGGCCAGGGGCCCTTGGATCTCCGCGTCTGCCTTCGCCATGGATCCATACCTCCAGCGATGTGATATCTCCAATCCCGGCATTTCGTGGATTTCGGCCTCTGGTGCCCGGCGCCATCCAACATACATCCGGGACGAGAAGTTGCCCCCAGTGAAGGGGTAGGCATCTCTGTGGCCGCGCAGTAACAAAGTCACATCGTCCAGCATTTGGAAAGGACAGGGATACCGAGGGAACCGGGTCATGGAGCCAGGGGCTGTCCTTGGTGCCAGCTCTTCATCCTTAGTCCGTCTATTTCGGGGGAGGAGGACTATGGATATGGTCCGGGGCCATGGCATCTCGTAGTTTCCATGGCCCCCGCTTTTTCTTTCAACACGCCCCTTGGCCCCGCCTCATCCCCCCTCGTTCGCGCACATGCCTCGGGCCATGGCGCACGAAGCCCCCCCTCTTCGTAGCCCCCTCTTCAGCGCACCCGAGTTCAGCAGACCTGGGGCCCGTGGAGGGTCCTGGGGGGCCCGAAAGCCAGGGAAAAAGGCTGAGGCCGTTCCCTTCATACCTCCGCTTCTCCCCCCGCGTGGGCCTTGTGCGCCGCCCATGGCGGGCGACTCACGCCATAGGCGGCGCTGGAGCCGCCGCCGGAGGGGGGGGGAGGGACCCATTTCCGACCCAAAGGTCTGCGCGGACCGCCAGAGGTAGCTGCCCAGCCGCAAGCCCCTCCCACGCCCGTCGCTGCGCGAAGGAGCGGTTCGGGGACCACGTCCCGATAAGGCCTTGGGGCGCGTCAGCATTGAACCCGCCCTCGATCCGGGGCGCTCGGCTCAGAGGAGAGGGAGGAGCAGGAGGAGGAGGGAGCTTCTTATGCCATGTGGGCCTGCAGGAAACATAAGATACATCCCAGGCACTCTGGGGAGGCAAAAAACATACAACGTCCGAACTCCCATCCGAACGGCGCTCTCGCCCAAGTCTGCGCAATTCCTGCGGCGACACTTGTGCGTCGTGGTCGGTTGAATAGCGAGTCGTAGGGATGTCTCAGGCGAAAAGTCTCGCACTTCAAAAGACAACATCGGTGAGTCGAACACCAGCTGTTCGATATTCGAACCTGCAACGATGTTTCAGCATATTTGGCCAGTTGAAGGGACACGGCCTCCGTCGAAGGCGCGTTGAATGAACGACGAGCGTGGATCCGACGAACAGTGCGGACCTTTGTGAAGTCCCCGCCCGTTGTCTCTCTCCCTTCTCCATCTTTGGACTGTTCCCGCACGTTTTTTCTGGCGTTCCCTTCCTCCCATTCGCCTTTGCTCCTCCATCTTGGCGTTATTCCCAAAATCCTAAGTCTAGTGATTATTATTGTTAGTGCGATGCTTCCGCCTCCTCTTCTCCCATCCTGCTTCCTCCCAGGTCACACATTCAGATTCATTCACACTTCAGATACACGCACATCCAGACTCACTGGCTCTCAGCCACACTCATACTCAGACTCATTTGTACTCAGGTTCACTGATACTCAGACCCCCTTTCGTTCAGACCCCTTCACACCCAGACTCGCACGTGTTCAGGTTGACTAACACACACCTCTCTCACTCATATCCAGGTAAGCCATACTCACTCATGCGCATATCACTCACACAGTCAGGGCCCGATGCCCATCGCGATGTGGCAGGCGTGCCACTTGCGCACGCCAGGGGGGAACCGCCAGGGGATATGACATGTGCCCGTTCGCGCCCAGACCGGGGTTACGTCTCAGGGGGTTTCCTTGTTTGGTTGGCCAGACTTCTTTCTTATCAGAGCCCGATTCTCATAGCGACGTAGCAAGCGTGGCGTCTCAAGACCCCCCAGGGGGTTATGACATTTGCCCGTTCGCGCCCAGTTTGTTGGGATGTCTCTGGCGGTGTACATGTTATGCTGGGGAAGACTTCTTCCGTTCCAGAGCACCATGCCCATCGCGATGTTGCAGGGCTGGCATTTAAAGACGCCGAAAATGAGCCACAGAGGGGTATGACATGTGCCCGTTCGCGCCTAACGCGTGGGGATGTTTCAGGTGATTTACCTGTTTGGTTGATCGGGGTCCTTCCCTTGTCTTCAAAACCACGCGCCCATCGCGAGGTAGCAGGCGTGGCACTTGAGCACACCAGGGAGGAGCCGCCAAGGGGATGACCTGTGCCCGTTCGCGCTCAGATTGTTGGGATGTTTCGGGCGGTTTGCCCGTCTGTCTGGCCAGACTTCCTTTCTTTCCAGAGCCCCAGGCGCACTGCGATGCAGCAGGAGCGTCACTTGAGACCCCCAAGAAGGGAAGCGCCAACTGATATGACATGTGCCCGTTCGCGACCAGATTCTGTGGACGTCTCGGGCGGTTTGTCTATTCTGGTCGCCCTTTTCAGGGACCCGCGCTCATCGCGATGTAGCAGACGTGGAATTTCAGCCCCCCAAGTCGGGGTATGGCATTTGCCCGTTGGCGCCCAGATTCTTGGGATGTCTCAGGCGGTTTGCTTGTTATGTTGACCAGGTGTCTCTCTTGTCAGGGGTCCGTCGACGTCCTCGTCGTGGTCCTCGCATCCCCCTCCCACCCATCATTGAACGCAACGCCGGTGCCTCTCCGAGCCCGTGTCAGGGCTTTCCGTGCTGGGCCCCCTGCCTTAAATTTATGCTCCTCCTTCGCTGTCCCCCCCTCCTCTTCGCCGATCTCGCCCTGTTACGATTACAGGCTGCCCCCGCCTTCGCGCCCGCATTGTGAGGACGTCTCAAACAAGACCTCTGCGGCGTTCGGATGACTGGTTCGTTTCTTTGGCAGGCTGGTTGGTTATTCGTTCGGGCCTGGCTAGTTCTTCCATCTTGCCCCCTCTCCTATCCAGCCTCTGCCACCGCCGCCGACGTCGTTGCCTTGCCTCTTTTCCGCCCGACCCGCTTCTTTACAATTGCTGACTATATTCCCCCCCCCGCCCCCTTGGCGCCCGCGTCTCAACGAGAGCTCTGCGACGCGTGACGGTCGGGTTGGCTGGGCGGTTGGATTGGCTTGGTCGGTTGGGCGATTTGCATCACCGCTGGCGCTTGCATTCGTGAGACGGGAGGCACGATGGCAAAGAGGGTCGGCGGGGGGGGATTTCTCGCGGTGCCACGGGCCTTTTTGTGCTCACAAGTCACATGGGGCTGGCAAGCCCTGCGGTGCGCGCAGTGCGCAAAGAGCCCAAGGTCTGCACAAGCCTTGTGGTGTTCGCGCAGGGTTTTCTGCGCTTGTAAACCGTCTGTCGCTCGAGACCGACCCGTGCATGTCCAGCATGTTGTGCAGCTCGCTTGGCCCATGCGGCTCGAGCATCCCATACGCCCCATGCGACTCGAGCGGCCCATGCGGTTGGTTCCCTCCTCTGTCGGGGTGCGCCCCATCTGTATTTCATGCGCTGCACGCGATTTCAGTGGCCACTAACGATCATGCGGCGCTTGGCTCACAAACCTTCTGTGGCCCATGTGGCACAGGCAACTCCAGAGGTCCAGGCAAACTGCAGGCCGCGCGCAGGTGTCGCCGTTGTCGCCACACCCCAGCGAGTTTGCAAAAAGGTGCAGCGGCAAGGGTGCCACCTGCACGCGGGCTGCAAGCCGGCTATTTTTGCGTCACAACTGTTTTGTTTCCCGGCCAGACGGCGACACGCAACACAGTGCGCCAAGGTCGCGCATTTTGTTTGGGGGTCTGGCAATTGTTTTGTGTTCCGGCCCTGATGGGTATCAACGGGTCGTGTTACAGTCGACGTTTCTTGCCAGTGTTTGCGCCTATAGTTGAATGAAACATGTTCGATGGACAGACATTTGTTGCGAGTGTGGGCGATTAATCAAGGGCAGCAGCGTGGAATAGGGATTCCCCGCTGCAATGTCCCGGCGGAGAACCGCGGGCCACGCGGGGGCTCGTCGTCGGGCCCTCCGCCAGTGGCTCCTCCTTCTTCTCCTTGTCGTCCCCCGCCCCCAATCGACCCCCTTGAAACCCTGCGGGGGGCAGTCCCACGAGCGTGGCCGAAATGTGGCTGAGGCAACTCCACTCGCCTGAACCCCCCCGGGAGAAACGATCAGAAGGGGGGTTGCACTCGAATGCGCGACGACCTTGCGCGGTGGCTCACGCAGGCCGCTCGCGCGGCAGAAGCACGAACTTACGAGGGCGGCATGCGCGCGAGTGCCCGCGCAATCGACCCCCTTGAAACCCTGCGGGGGGCAGTCCCACGAGCGTGGACGAGACGTGGCTGAGGCAATTCCACTCGCCTGACCCCCCAGGGAAAAACGATCAGAAGGGGGGTTGCACTCGATTGCGCGACGACCTTGCGCGGTGGATCACGCAAGCCGCTCGCGCGGCAGACCGCATTAAGGCGCCTACGCGCCACCTTCCGCGGGCAGCTTACGCACAAGTGCACGCGCAATCGACCCCCTTGAAACCCTGCGGGTGCGCCCTCCCGCGGGCGCTTTGAAATGTGTCGCCCGGTTGCGGTTGCGGTTGCGGTTGCGCGCTCCCGCGGGCGCTTTGGAATGTGTCGCCCAGTTGCCGTTGCGGTTGCGGTTGCGCGCTCCCGCGGGCGCTTTGAAATGTGTCGCCCGGTTGCGGTTGCGGTTGCGCGCTCCCGCGGGCGCTTTGAAATGTGTCGCCCGGTTGCGGTTGCGGTTGCGGTTGCGCGCTCCCGCCGGCGCTTTGAAATGTGTCGCCGGGTTGCGGTTGCGGTTGCGCGCTCCCGCGGGCGCTTTGAAATGCGTCGCCCGGTTGCGGTTGCGGTTGCGCGCCCGCTGGCGCTTTGAAATGTGTCGCCCGGTTGCGGTAGCGGTTGCGGTTGCGCGTTCCTGCGGGCGCTTTGAAATGTGTCGCCCGGTTGCGGTTGCGGTTGCGCGCCCGCGGGCGCTTTGAAATGTGTCGCCCGGTTGTGGTTGCGGTTGCGGTTGCGCGCTCCCGCGGGCGCTTTGAAATGTGTCAACGGGTTGCGGTTGCGGTTGCGCGCTCCCGCGGGCGCTTTGAAATGTGTCGCCCGGTTGCGGTTGCGGTTGCGGTTGCGCGCTCCCGCGGGCGCTTTGAAATGTGTCGCCCGGTTGCGGTTGCGGTTGCGGTTGCGCGCTCCCGCGGGCGCTTTGAAATGTGTCGCCCGGTCGGGTTGCGGTTGCCGCCGCCGGGTTGCGCTCCCGCGGGCGGTTTGAAATGTGTCTCCCGAGCTGTCCCCTGACGTTCAGTCAGTCATCAGTCAGCCGGCGGGCACGGAATTTCACCCGGCTCCGCCTGGAAACATGATATCATCAATTGGCACATAGAGTTGCAAACAGCAGGCGGCACCAGAAAACTCAGGTACAGCGGTGCAGCCTAGCGCCATGAAGGAATGGGGGCCGCAAGGAAAGCCCAGCACAGTTCAGCCAACGAGCCGGCAGAGCGGCGCAAGATACGCGTCACGACGTGCGGGGGCGGGGGCTAGCGGAAGGGAGTAGGAGGGACAGGAGGATGAGGAGGAGCAGGAGGAGCAGGAGGAGGGGGAGGAGGAGGAAGAGAAGGAGGAGGAGGAGGAGGAGGAGGAGGAGGAGAACGGGGGAGAGCGCGAGGCCGACGGCGAGGGTTCGTTCGGCCGAGCCGCGCGGCCGCGGCCGCGCCCCGCTCCGCCGGCACCTCAGCCCAGCGGCGCTTGAGGGAGCGTTCAATGAGTTCCCGAACTCGAACGCCTCCGAAGATGCACTCACAGCATCCGCACCTGCACGGCGACGTTCTCCCCGAACGACGCCATTCCCGCGGCAAGCTTATTCAGCACGCCCTTCCCCAGGACGGT